AAGACGTGGCTCTCAGAATAGAGATAGAAGCGTTATTTATTTCAGGGCCTCACGAGCATTTAGGAGGGGACACGTGGCCCCCCCTGCCCCCCCCCCCCCAGGTTGGTTGGGGCCGATGTAACGCAGCAGCGGGGCTGGGGGCCGCTCGATCACATCCTGACCAACAAAAGGCCGCAGGGCGGGGGGCACACGGACGCTGCCATCCTGGTGGAAGGAGGGGGTGGAAGGGGGGGGGAAGCATCAGTCTGCTGTGCTTCCCCTTCTTCCTCCCCCCCTCAAATCCAAATGAAGTAAAGCCCCTTCCACGCACCGGCTGTTGGTTGCACTCCAGAAGGGCGATGAGCAGCCGGGGGACGGCACAGGCGGTGCCGTTCACCTGGGGAAAGGAAGGAATGGGGAGGGGAGGGCAGAGGAGTTCAGGGGTCTCGTGGCCCCTCCCCCCCCCCATCCCCCCAGGGTGCAGGGGGGCTCAGCACCCACCGTGTGTGCGTGGTGCAGCTTCCCAGCCCCATCGCTGTACATGATGTTCAGCCGCCGGCTTTGGTAATCGGTGCAGTTGGAGGTGCTGGAGATCTTGGGGGAGGCAACATAGAGAACATAGAGACCCCCCCCCAAACAGCCACGGGGACCCCAGGTCTCAGCAATGGGAAGGGAAGGGGGGTGCAGCCCCCTCCTGGCTGCTCTCACCTCCCCATATTTGCCCCGTCCCGGCATCCAGGCTTCGATGTCAAACTTGCGGTACGCTGGGAGTCCCAGCTCCTGTGTGGGCATATCCAGGACACTGCGGGGTGGGGGGGGGATGGGGACTCCATTGGGACGTGGATTTGAGGGACAGGATCCAAACTGAGCCCCCCCTCCACCCCAACTGACCGGTAATGCAGCCCCAGCTCTGAAAAAATCTCCTTCTGCAGCGTGAGGAATTCATCCAGCATCATTTCGCTCTCGGCTCCGCTTTCTGCTGCCGTCACCCCAAACATCTCCACCTGTGAGTACAGGGTGGTCCCGAAAGCCCCCTCCCCATCTGCTGCCTTCCTGTATGCCCCACCTCCAGCTCCCCCATCCCACCTTGGTGAACTGGTGCACACGATAAAGGCCCCAGGGCTCTCGGCCCGTGTCGGTCTCTGCACGGTAACATGTGCTGGAGCAGACGATCCTGTGTTGGGGGGGGGGAGCAAGGAACGATCAGAAGACCCCCCACAAACACCCCCCACCCCCCTGCCCTCCATCCCATCCCCGCAGTTGCTGCTGCTGTACCTGATGGGCATGTCCTGCAGCCGCACCGCGTGGTCCATGAAGTAACCTGCAGGAGAAAAGGAGACAACTGAGGGGTCTGGGCACATTTTTGACCTCGTTCTGTCTTAATTATGACCTTTCCTGATAAGTCCCACTCTCATTTTGCCCCGTTCTGAACCGTTTATCCCAAGCTTTGTCCCGTTTCCTGTTTTTTTCCCCCATTTTGGAAATCGTGCCCTGTTTTTCACCTGCAATCCCCACCTCGGAGGTGCCAGCCAGGCACAGGTCCTCGAAGCGAGCCGGGTCGATGCAGTACACGGGAGATGGGGTGATGTTGGGCTGCATCCCACAGCCCTCCTGGGGGAAGGGGGGGGGGGACACACAGGGAAGTCACTTGGTGGTGAGGAGGACAGCAGGGACAGTGCAGGGACGGAGTGGCACTTACAAAGACGGCACCGCGCAGCAGATCAGGGACCGTCATGGGCAGGAAGCCCTGCAGTGCAGTGAGAGATGTGGGGGGCCGGGGGGGATCACGAGGCCCCACAGGTTGGCAGGAGGGACACAGGGTTCCCTTGGACTCGATTCCATACCTTGGGCACCAGTTTGGCCAGCACAAAGTTCACCAAGGCGTGCTGCAGCAGCGCGCCTGCCCCGCACAGGTAATAGGAGCGGTGACCTGAGATGTGTGACAGCCTCCTGCGGGGACACAGCCGTCACCAGGATGGAGGCGACATTGCAGTGAGTGAGCCCTGTGTCTGGGGAGGGACTCACCGCTGGCGGATGATGTCCAGCTCCTCACCCAGCTCCAGGTGGCCCTTAGGCTGGAAGTCGAATGCTGCAGGGACAGAGGGAGCCTTTCTAGCTGTGGGACCCCCCCTCCTGTTATCCACCCCACTCTGTGCTGCCCGTCCCTCCATCCCCATCCCCAGCTCGCCCCCACCTGGCTTCTCTCCCACCACCTCCAGCACGCGGGCCTGGCTCTCATCACCGACGGGCTGCAGGAGGAAGGGAAGCAGGGGCTGATCAGGACATCTGCAGCATCCCCCCCCCCCCTCCCCACGTTCCCCTGCTCACCACTGCCGGGTGGGTGCTGTTGGGCAGCTGCAAGGCATGCAGGTAGAAGCGTTCATCCAACGCTGCCTCCTCTGCCAGCAGTTCCCTCAGCTGCAGCCTCACCGCACGGCCCCGTTCCCGCTGCGCTGCGTATTCGGGGACCTGAAGGAATGGGGGACCACGTGGTGGCCACATCACCTCCCCAGCAACGTGGGGCTGGGGGGAATCCAGAGCAACCATCCTGAGGGTCTCACCGCATGCAGCGTGTCCTTGGCGTGGGTGGTCTGTGGGAAGGGAAAATGGGTGAGATGGGGGGACAGGGGGGAGGGGAGAGCATAGAGTACCGTAGTGCTCTATAAGGAGGGGGGGGGGGCTCACCACCAGGGCGTGCACTGCCAGCGCCACCTCCTCCTTCTCGGCCTCGAGTCGGGCGATGGCCGCACGCACCTCCTCCAGGCGGGCCCAGGTCTGCAGCTGTGGGCGGGGACTGTCACGAAACCCCGCCCCCAGCACGCTATAGGCTCCACCCCCTGCCCATAGACCCCCGCCCACGTAAACAGAACACGCCCCCGTGATGCTCCGCCAGCCCGGCCCACTACCACAGACCACGCCCCCAACCTTCAGCAGCCCCGCCCACTCCCACAAAGCCGCGCCCCCCAATGCTCAGCAGCTACACCCACAGGCCACGCCCCCCGCCTCTCCCGCTCACGATCTCACGCAGCTCGCCCTCCCTCAGCGGTCCTTTCCTCCGCTCCAGTTCCCGCGCGGCCTCCGCCGGGTGCGCACTCAGCGCCGCCATATCGAGCTGCGGCCGCGCGCTAAGCCCCTCCCGCACGTGCTCGTACAGTCGGCTCCGCTCCGCCCGACCCCGCGGAGCGGCTCCGGTTCCCGCTGAGCGCCGCCCGCGTGCTGCTACCGCCACAGCGCGCCGCGCCGCTGCTAGCGCCCTGGGCGCCGCCATCTTGGACAGTCCTCCAGAAGTGAGGGTGGTCACGTGGCGGAAGTGGAGACATTCGGCGGAAGTGGAGCCACGCCCACGCCCAAGATCCTTCCCCCCATCCCCCCCCGGGTGAGGACAGCACTTCGTAGCGTTCAGGGAACGCAGCACTTTAATAAACGTATAAGCAAGGATCCTTCGGCCGCGCTCACTTCTTTTTCTGCACGTGGGCGCAGTCGTACTTCCCCCGCACGATGGTCAGCTTCACCCCCGGCAGGTCCTGCGTGCGGCCGCCCTGCACCAGCACCACGTGGTGCTCCTGCAGGTTGTGGCCCTCGCCCGGCACGAAGCACACCACCTCCCGCCCGTTGCTCAGCCGCACCCGCACGCATTTCCTGTTGGCTGAGTTCGGCTTCTTGGGTTTGCGGATGAGGTTCCTCACCACCACCCCTTTCAGCTGCGGGCGGCCGAAGGTGGGACCCAGCTTGGGAGGCGGCGGCTTGGGCCGGCCTTTCCGGTGCATCTGGTTCAGCGTAGCCATGGCAGCGGTCGGCGGCGACCCGAAGACTGTAGGGATAAAAAGGGGCGGTCAGCGGCAGCGGGACGGCTCAGAGAGGACGGGGACCGGCGGTACGCACCGCAGCCGCGCAGCGAGGCTGCGGTCCTAAGTACAGCGCAGAGCGACATCCTGTGGGATGGACAGTCCTCCAGCCTCCTGCGGGGGACACGCGGTTAAAGCTCTCCGCACCGGGGCGCAAAGCGCGATCGCAGCGGCAATTCACACGGCCGGCATCTTACCGCTCTCCTCTGCGCCGTGCGGATTTTCCTCCGCGCAGTGATTGGTCAGCGCCAACGCCAATCTCGCTCAGCCTCCCTGCGATTGGTTGAGTTCTCCCACGTGCCCGCCCCCCTCTTGGGTGCTCGGCGGGACCAATAGCATTGAGGGGGCGGGGATTGTTGCAATGGAACGGTGGGCGGGGCTTGTTGCGAAGGGAACGGGGGCGGAGTGCGGCCCAGAGCGGCGGCCTTCCAACATGGCGGCGACCGAGTGAGAGGAGCGGCGCGTCCGGCGGGGGGGGCGGTGAGTGGGGCCTGAGGGGCCGGGGATACGGGAATATGTGGGCGAGGGTCTTCAGCTGGCTGTGCAGGGAAGGATTTGGGCCTCCTGAGGTTGGGGGTGGGGGCTGTGAGTGCTGTGAGTGCTGTGCTGTGGGCAGCCTGCGCCTGGAGGGGGTGTGGGTGAGTTATGGAGGCCCTGAGGGGAGCGGGGGGGAGGAGAGGAGGATAGGAGGGGGGAGGTAGAAGAGGACGGGGGGGAGGGTAAGAGGGGAGATGGGGGGGAGATAGGAGGAGATATGGAGGGGGGCAAGGATTGGGGGGTGGGGGGGAATAGAGGGGTTTTCTGTGTTTCTCTGGGTCCCCGCCCTCAAAAATGGCCCGAATTTGGGGATCTGTCCATCCGTGCAGGACTGGGTGGGAGCCCACAGGCGCAGCCAGCAGCCCTGGTTTGGGTTTGTGTCTTTTTGAAGCATCCCGAATAGCTGCGAATTGGGTTTGTGGAGCCTGGCGTTGGGGAAGGGGCAGAGCTGGGGGCTGTGGAGGATGTTTAAATATAAACCCCCAAATTGAGTTTGAGAGCTGGGCTGTGCAGAGGAAGTTTAAATAAACCCCGTTTGAGCAGCGGCCAAAGGATTCGGTTGTTTGCTGCCGGTTGCAAATGGCAGCCAATCCTGGCGGCTTTTGGAGGAAGTTTCCTAATTCCTGGTTCATTTCTAAACCTGGGGGATGTGTTTGTTGTCCCCTGGGCAGGTTTTGGGGGGGCCTTTTATAGGAGTTGGGTATGAACTGCTGGTTTGTGAAACGTGAGACTCTGTGGCCGCATCACCAGCGCCGTGCTGTTGTCTTTGGCTGACATTTCCAGCTTGTGTTCAGAAACATTGCTTGTATTCTGTTCTGCTGCAACACCACCCTGACTTTCCTAAACAAAGGTAATTAACCAGAACCATTTGGAAGCTGGAATAGCCTCAGAATTTTCCAGGGGAGGTACCAACAAGATAACGATTGCTGCCAGTTTAGGTTCTGTTTGCCCCCTCAGCTGAATGCAAACTCACGCTCTGCTCCCCCGTGTTGTTACAGCTCCCAGATGTTTTCCACATATCTTTATTTGCATCTGCAGGGGAGACATTTGTTTTGCTGGCAATTATCAAATGGGTCAGAAGGAAGCGGGCTGTACAAAAATAAAAACTCACCGAGTTTTGCTCTGGGCTTCTCACCGTCCTTTGTGCTGCTGTTGCTGCTGTGTTGCTTCTTCTGTTGATGTTTGGGCTTTGTGAGCTGGATCTCTGTGAGTCACCCAAGCGCTGAAACAGAGGTGAATTTGAGTGGACATGAAAGGGGACGTGAATCGCACCTCCATCCCTGGGGCAGTGGAGCAGCAGGACGGGAGAGGCAGTGCTTGGAGCACGGTGAGGTTCTTGCAAGGCCTTCCTTTGGCTCTGTGGTGTGGGTTTGATTCCTCAGCGCCCGACTTCTCAGATGAATGATTCCAGGCTGTGGGTGGCTGGTGGAGGGGAAAGAAAGAAGGAAGGAAGGAAGGTAGGAAGGAAGGAGGTGTAGCTTTGCATCCGAGGTGCAGCTCGTGGGGATGGAGCTTTCTATGCTCAAATTGGGCACCGCTGGATGCTGAGCAGTTCTGTGCACGCTGGGATGATGCCCGGTGCCTTCGTGCTCTGCTGCCTGTTTTCACTGCTCTGCCCTTGGACTGCAGCCCTGGGAGCTTTGCTTTTCTCCCTGTTTCTTCCTTTGGTGCACGTAACCAGGAGCCCGTTTCTGTCCTGCCTCTGAAGGCAGTGAAGTAAAGCAGAGCTGATGGCGTTGGTGCTGGGTGCCCCGTGGGATTCAGTTGTGCTGCACTGCAGGAGGACAAAGGACGCAGCCCTGGGAGGCCCACAGAAACCCCGGGGACGTTTGGCAGCTTCCACGCCGCCTAATTACAATCACACCGACCTTATTTAATACGAAGTGGTTTCTCCTGAGGCCAGCAGGGGAAGGGAAGAGGCCTCACCGTGTGCCTGGGAACGGAGCCGTGCTGGTTTGGGGTTTCAGAGGGAGCTCTGCCTGCCTCCGGTGCGGCTCGCGTTTCAGAGCAGCTTTCCCAGCTGGGCTGGTGCATCCTGGAGGATTTGCTGATTTTTTTTTCTTTATTAACGTTTTTGGGACGTAATGAGAATGTAATTCTTCAGAGCTGTGCTTGTTCTGCTCTTCCTTTTCCTACGTCGTGCGCTGAGAGCAAATAAACTGTAGGTTCTGTCAGTGGGGTGCAGGAGGGTGATGAGAAAATGGAAGGGGCTGAGATGTTTTGGTCTGTTAACTCTAAGGGGAGGCGCTGGGTTTGGCACTGTGGCTGTGGGGGTTTGGTTTGGTTTGGTTTCCCTTTTCCTACTGAAGACAAACGCTTCAAGTGTCAGCCATCCGAGGCGAACTCCTTGCTGTGGGGTTGGGGCAGCAGTGCCGGGTGCTGCGCTGAGCGTCTCCCATAGCTTCCTTCGTGGTCCTTAAGCATTGGGGAATGCAATCCACTGCCAGGTTGCATTAAAATCCTCGTTAGAGTCCCTTCCCTGCAGGGCTGCTGGGGCTCCGTTAGCACCTGCTGATCATCCGAAGCCTTGGGTCCCTTCCAGGGGGGCAGGCGATGTCCCCGCATGGCTTCTCCCTGCTGTGCATCGTCATCCTCTTGTTGTGAATGTCTGTTTTGAGCCCACTGGGTGCTAAGGGGGCAAGAGCAAGGCGATGGTTGTAGAAGCAGCAGGATTTGGGGTGCGGTGGGGGAATGCTGTTGGGTTTTGTCACCGTGCCCCGGCGCAGGGCTGCGTTCAGTGTTGTCTGTGCAGTGCAGAGCAGGAGCAGCGAGTGGCGAGGAGCCTCTGGCTGCTCAGCGCTCAGAATGGAGGCAGTGGGGGTGGATTGCGTGCAGTTCCTCCACCCCGGACCAAAGGTATCTCTGGTGCAACGCAGAACTTGTTTGTCTGACCTGCTGGAGGGGTTGGGTAACCCCTGCTGGGAGCGGGTGATGTTTCCGTGCTTCCTGTTCCAAAAAGGTGCCTGCGTGATGTTCCACGCTGCGATTAAATCGCTTATGCTGCCTGAACAGAGAAGCCCAAAAGGCGGCTACGAGCACCGATGCTGAAACGGCAGCCTTCTGGTTAGAAGCTCAATAGCGAGGTGGCTGGAGGGGCTCCGTTACTTTTGGGTCAGGGTTCTGCTGGAGCATTGCTGATGCCAGGCGGCAGCATCCCGTGGAGCGGTGCTGCGTGGCGCTGCCTGCAAGGGGCTCTGCGTGCCCCCAGTGCTGCGCGCTCACCGCTCGCCTCCGCTTTCTGCATGACTGCTTTCTGCTGCCCCGGGCTGCCATCCTCTCGCCCTTCCCACAGCGCTTCATCTGACACCATTGAGCTCCCAGTGGGAGACAGAATGAGAGAGGAGTAGTGAAGCAGCCTCTCGCTCAGGGAGAGGCGTGCAGGAGCCCATGGAACAGGCCAGCATCTCTCTGCCCGCGCTCGAGGACGCTGAGGGAGCCCTGCAGTCAGGGAGCTCCGCTGAGACGCCATCTATGCAGTCATTTTGCACCAAAGGGAGAAATGGGGTCTGCGGTGCTTCTGGTTGTGTCTCTGGAAACCGAGATAAGGGTAATTGGAGCTCAGGCTTCAAGGCACAAACGGTGTCTGTGGGAGCGGGGGGAGCAGCCCTTGTGCATGAGACGTCATCCCACGGGGATGAGGCTGAGAAATGCTCCTGGGCAGCCGGTGGCCACACTGGAGCCGTGGGGACAAGGTGAAAGGCTTTGTGCAGAACGTGCTGAGCATCGCAGATCCATTCCCCTGTTGTTTCTTCTTCTTCTTGCTGGTTTTGGGGTTTTTTTTGAGTGTGAAGGACTCCAATTCTTTCCGCCGTGATCCTTTAGCTCACGTCCACCCCACGCCGCGCTGTGATGCCGTGACTCTCCAGCACTTTTCCTCTGAAGGTCTCAGATCGAAGCCAGCGCTGTTAAAGCAGACTCCCGCGTGCCGGGCTGACGCTCCTCCTCACAAAGCAGAGCAGGAGGAGAACCAGGAATAGATCCCCAGCAACCTGTGTTAAGCCCTTCAGCACTGAGTCATCGCTGGGCAACCCTGCAGGCTGCTGCGTGGGCAGAAAAAGGGAAAATTGAAGTGAATTTCTCACTCCAAGCCTGAACTTTCTGGAAGAGCTTGGCAGAGGCCAGGCTGCAGGTCAGCTCGCAGGAATTTGGGGTGGCTGGACACAAACTGGTGTCTTTGGGGCACCCCAGCAGTGCAGGAGGCTCAGGGCGTTTCTGCAGGTTGAGAGATCGTCTGCTGATGGGAGAACAATTGGTGTGCAGCGATGCACGTGGCTCTGTTGGACCTCACGAGCTTCTCCTGGCCCTGCTGAACGGCATCCCATCCTTCAGCTGGGTCCACCCCACACTTCTGCACTCCTTTTGGACTTCTTTCCTGCCTGAGGACTCTGTTTGGATCCTCCCGGGGTTCCTCGGCCCGCCGGCTCCACGTGGCCCTGCCCAGCCTGGCAGCGTGGCATCTCTCTGCTCTTTGAAGGTTGTGCAAAGCCAGCCTGGCCAGTTCTACCACCCTGCTGGCAGGCTGAGCGCAGCAGCGCTGCGGTGAGCGTTGCGCCGTGCCGCTCTCAGCGTGACAAACTCCTGGTGGATGACGTCCCGTGGCTCCTCTGCCCCACTTCCACTCAGGTGTGCCTGTATGCCTGCTTCCATTGCTCCAGCAACGCAGGGCTCGCGTCCCAACTGCGGAGGGCACGGCGATGTCAAGGAAATGCCGTTTCCACTTCCACGGCGTGGCTGGGACGGAGCCCCGGCGCTGGGATCCCTTCTGGTTGCGCTGCTGGGCTGCAGTCAGGGCGTGTGTGAGCTCGGAGCTGTGGCTCCCACAGCCTGAAACCACATGAGATCTTTACTGCCAAATCAAATGCGATAGCTGAGCCTGCAGCCTTGCATTACGCAGTCTTGGGGGGGCTGGGAGTGAAGGCTTTGAGAGCCGGTGTCTGTTTGCGTTTTGAAGCTGGGCCGCGTGCAGCAGGAGGAAGGAGAGCAGCAGGACGTCAGTGGTGGGGCTGAGGTCCTTCGAGCTGAGCTCTGGGTGCAGCTGCCTGGGGACTGAGGCCACGCTGGGTTTGTCTGCGAGGCGAGGGCCGGCAGGATGTGCTTCTGCTAATTGTGTTAAAGCCCCGAAAGATACGAGGGTAGAAACTTCCTTTGATGCGCTTTTATCTTCCTGTGAATTAATTAGCGCGTTTCACAAGCCTCTGAAATTGCTGCTGGGGGCTCTTTGTGCTCTTGGCAGCCGAGCAGAACAGCTGGTGGATTTCTGTAGTCACGGCAGCTTTTGACGGCTGGAAATGGGAGGTGTTGAAGCTGCTGCTTGTTCTGCACCAGGGAAACAACTTGCCAGAAGGGCAGATGAGTTTTGCCCCTTAGACGGGGAAGAGACGCAGCAGCTCCAACTCGTTCCCACATCAGCGTTCTGCCCAGCTCTCCGCTGCTCTTTCCCCCTTCCCTGAAAGATAAGAAAGCTGTGAATGCTGTAACGCAGCCTCGTTTGCTTCATGAGGGCTCGGGGACCCCGGGTGGGCGATGCCAGCACCAAGGGCGACGCCACCTGGCTGCTGCAGGCGCCGAGGCGACGCTGGCGGAGGTTTGCTCTCATCTGCCCGTCTTTTTTTTCCATCTCTTTCTCTCATGATTCCAGGAAAGCTTCCCAGTGCTGCTTAGCAGCGTAGCAAAGCTGCTGTAGATATTTTGGTCCCCGAACGCTCTGCAAAAGAACAAGGAAGAGGAAAATGAGGACGAATGGGAAGTGAGCAATCTAGTTGTAAGCTGCTAGGTGATTAACATTCACAGCCCTGCTTTTTTTCTTGCGTGTTTCCCCCTCCGTGCTTGTAAAAGGCATTTAAATAAGAATGGAGCTGGGACCTCTTGGAGATGCTGTTGGGCTGTGCTGGGTGCAGCAGGGCTCGCAGCTGCCCTGATCTGCTTTCCCTGTCCCATTCGCCACCTGCTGCCTTCGCTCCCGTGCTGCCCCTGAGTTGGGCCAATTGCCCATGGGGGCTGCTGGGGGCGAGAAGTTCATTTGCAAGACGTGCCAACTAATTGGGCCGACTCGAGAGTGTTTCCTCTGAGCAAAATCAGAGAGGAGAGAATGGAAACGTGCACCCTCACATCAGAGCCTTGATTTCCAGCTGGAGATCCTCGCATCGGGGGCTGCTCGGTTCCTTCTGCCCACCCCATGGGATCACACAGCTCACGCTGCTTCTCCTTAGCAAGCAGCACGCTGCTCGTCTGCGTGGAAAACAGATGAAGAGGCAGAGCTTTGAGCTGTGATCCTCGCCCTCAGGAGAGGCTTACAGCCCTCGGGGAGCCCTGGTGAGCGTCCTGCTGTCCCCCCAGCAGGTTCTGGGGCTGCTGTTCCTGAGCCAGAGCTCTTACTGCCAGCTGAACTTGCCAGGAGAGGAGTCAGCGCTTCTGGCCACATCCAGCCCCTGCTCTCAGGGTGGGTGAGGGACCTGGAAGTGGATAAGGAACACCCACATGAGCAGAGACTCTCCGGAAAGGCCGCTGGCTTCCCACCTTCCCCTCTCCGTCCTTCCCTGTTTCCACGGCCGGGGCACTTTGACTGGCTGCTTTGTTTCAAATGTTGCTGCCTCATTGGCTCCCGGCTCAAATCTCCTCTATTCCTGCTCCACTTCTTACAAGCTTCGCTGTTAACCCCTGCGAGCCTCAGCAGCTGCTGATCACAGCTCCTCTCCTCCTTCCCTCCCTCCTCGCTTGCCAACGGATCCTCGCAGCGTGGGTGAGCGCAGCCGGAGCCACTTCCAGCCCTGGGAAATGGTAACGGCAGCACGGCGCGGAGGTGGGCGCCTGCAGGGAGGTGGTGTGGAGCTGGGAGGAACCCGTTCTCTGGGTGGCTCGCCTTGGAGCAAGGCTCACGGCACCAGGAAGCGGCGCGGGGCCTGGCACGGCTTCACCCCCTGCTTCCCTGCCGTCCCGGTGCCGTGCTGAGGATGCAGGGGAGCAAAGCTGGTCTGTCCCCGTGCCAGCACAAACCCAGTTCCAGCAGGCAAGAAGGGGGGGACGGTGAGAGCCCATCTGCAGGGCTCAGGATGTCCCAGTCCTGCCTGGCTCCAGAGGCGCTGCGAAGTTTGCGGAGTCGGGAGCACAGCTGTGGCTGCTGGCCCCAAACCGCCGTTCTGTGCTGCTGTTCCTCAGCCCTGCGTCCTCCTGCCCCACTCAGAGTTCTTTCTGCTGCAGTTTTCCTTCCTTCTTCCCCCTCTGGCTTGCAGGAAGCAGGGTGGTGATGGTGAGTAATGCGGAGTCTTGGCTGATATATTTTGTTAATGAGTTTCAGGCAGGGTTTGGCAGGGGGTGAGCACTGAGGGGAGGCTGCTCGGAGGAAGTTTCTTTGCTTTTCAAGCCCGGGCGAGGCTGACTGTGCTGGAAACGTGCAGAGCAATGGGGCACCACTCTCCACCTTGCTGTGGAGCAGGTTGTTTGCCCTCCAATCTGCTGAGCTGGCTTTTGGAGGCAGCAAGCAGTTCTGGCTGATGCGAGCAGGGTGGTGGTGTTTGTATGGGAGGCAGAGCCTGAGGCTGCTTGGTTTGAGCCCGTAAGAAAAAGGGGGCGATTCCTCTCGGACCGAGGTGGGGGTGAAGCTGAGACTCACATCTGCGCTGCTCTGGAATTGGACTTTACAAAAGGAATCTTTGGAGCAGCCTTCCTGCTCCGCTGCGCAGAGGAAGGACGCGGTGCCAGGGGAGCACGGCGACCCCATGGGAAGCGCAGGGTGGTGGGGTGTCCCTGGGTGCCTGCACCGCGCGTCCAGGGACCCCTTGAGCCCCCTTAAAACACCCCTGTGGGCAGTCAGGGCTGTGAGGTTTGTTGCGCTCCTTTCCCACTCGGTTTGCATTTAACTGAGATCCGTTTGGAGCAGCTCAGAGCAGATCTGGGCAGCGGAGCTGTGCCCAACCTGAGGCTCTCCCTGATGCTTGTGGTGCAGAGTCCTGCACCAACTCCCTGCACAGACACGGAATGCTTGGAGGAGAGGGAAGCGTGCTGGGGGAAATGGGTGCTTGTGGGCTCCTCCTCAATCTTTCTGTCACTGTTTTTTCACTTCTGAAAGGTAAGAGTGAGCTCCCAAGCCCTGATAGCGTAAGGCTGGGGAGCTTGCCAGCAGTGGGGAATATTCTGCTCTATTTTAGTTTACTCCTGGCTGCCAGAAGCGTTCGTTAATGGCTGACTAATTAAACAAAGCTGAGATAAAGGGAATGTGACCTGGGTTTGGACAGGGCTGAGGAATGTGCAGAGCTCCAGGAGAGGCAGAGGGGTGGATTTTAACCCTTTCCCTTCGCCGTGGCCGGCTGAAAAGCTGCTGATGTGTTGGACTGAGGGGTGGGGGTGACAGCGAGGGTCCTCCAGCCGTGCCTCTTTGTGTTTCTGTTCTGCTGCCAATCCAGAAAGAGTTCAGTGACTTCAGGCTCAGCTTGGAGGTTGGTTGCGATCAGTAGCTGAGTCCCACTGTGTTCACTTTCCCTCTGCCTGCAGCCTGGCAACGACCACCCTGAGAGGCGCCCTTTGGCTCCATATCATCCAGACGTGGCTCCTTTCCCCATGGTGCCACACAGGGTTCCTTGAAGGGGGGCTTCCATGGGGAAGGAGCGCTCAGGAAGTTTTCCAGGGTGGAATTTTGGAGCAGGTGCTCCGAGGATCAAGGGAAGATGCTGGGACTTCTGCAGAAAGGCAGCGTGACGCGTGCAGGTGGCAGCAAGCAGGAAGCAGAGCGAAGCAGGCGCACGCACACAGCCTGGATGGCTGCAGCCAGCAATGCCTGGGGGGTGAAGTTTCCCCCACCCAGCAATCTGGGCTGAAGCTGCGTGCGGCCATTCGAGCTTCGATCGGCCTCGCCTGCTGGGATAAAACTTCATCAAGGTAACGAGAACAGCCTGACAGGGAGGTTTGTTTGCAGCGCAGCTCACACCCAGCTGCCTGCCCCTGAGGAATGCTTGGCGTGGTTCAGGATCTGGCCCCGTGGCGCTGGCAAATATGTGGAGCGCGGCCGCGTCGGCTCACAGCGGCCTCTGGAGGAGCGAAATGCGGGATGGGGGAGGGCACAAATACCCCAATTTATGCAAGAATGGGCTGGGGTGAAGGCTTTCCCCTTCCCCAGGTGCAGGAGGAGTTATTAGGATTTTATAGGAGCAGGAACTGGGAAGGAGAAGCTCAGACTGAGCGAGGAAGGGAGTGTTGGTGCGGTGCTGCAGCGAGGCGGGTGGCCGGGGCTGGGATTTCCTGCCTGCAGGAAGAGATTGGCTTTGGGGCCACTAATTTTGCACCGAGCGGTGTGAAGGAAGCTGAATCGGGAGACTAAAATGGGAGGAAAAGGCCACAATTGTACCAGAAAGCAATGAAAGCAGTAGAGGGGACCGAAATCAGAGCCGGCCACGCTGGCAGGACGGGTTGGGTCAGCGTGGGATGGCATTGCTGCCACAGCTTGAGGGAGCAGAGGGTTAAACAAACAAAGCGTGGCCTGAAATGCTGAAGCTGCCTGTGTTTGTTTGATTCTGCTGCCTCCTGTCCAGATCCTTTGTGGGAGGGGGGGGGTTCTTCCTTCAGCTCTGACTGACAAACAAACAGAACTGGTTTTTCCTCCACTGAGATGGCAGGGCTGGATGTGGGAGATGCACTCTGCTGGTTTGTCCCTGCAAAGCAGCTGGTGCTCACCAGACCCTCCTGTCCCTCCTCACCTATCCTGGATCTTCTGAGCGCTTTTTCCTCTCAATGTGCTGAAACCCAAGTTGTTTCTACAGTGAAAATGCCGACCTCTGCGCTGGTGTGGTTTTGGGGAAGCCCAGAGCATCCAAGTGCAGCGTCGGGATGCGCTGCCAGCAGATCCCAGCAGCAGATCCTGGCAGCAAGAAGCTGCAGCCCAGCAGTAGGAGCTGCCCTCAGCTTCCACCAGCAGCGCCTGGCTGGGAGCCCTTTGCCCGTCCCTGTGCTCGGTGCTGGAGGTGTGAGGACGGGGCTTTGCTCCTTGCACAGCACTGCACAGCTCTGAGCTGCACGAGGATGTGGCTGTGCTCCGGGTGCTGGGGATCACGGCCTGGTTTTGAAGGAAAGCAAGCAAATCGGGGCTGGCTTTACGGTGCTGGGACACTTGTCCTGGTGTTTGGCTCTGGACGGTGCTGTGAGCTGCGTCCAGGGAAAACGCAGAGTTTAAGGCTGTTGGCAGTTTGAGGGCTGCATTAGCAGCAGTCTGAGTGTCCATCCTTTCCCCTTGGTTCTGTGTGGTGTTTTCACAGTGGTCTGGTGGGTCCAATCTTGTCCTGTTCCTCTTTGCAGAGTCGGTGTAAGCAGAAGGAGAGGCCAGCAGCCAGGCAGAGCATGCCACCGAGAGCACAGCAAAGAAATAGAGAAAAGCTGGTAGGGTTTTCTCCCCTGACTTAGGTCTTGTGCTGCACTTGGCACCGAGGACTTGCTCTGAGCATCCTGTATCCGTGCTCAGTATGGTCCAATATCAGGTGATGAGGGCACCAGTGCTGCTGGTCACGCTGTCCTTGTTCCCCCAGGCTGAGCTCTGGAGGAGTGGGAGCACAGCTGTGATCAGGGCTGAGCTCGCATCAACTTCAGTGCGTGCCCTGCTGCGGCTCTCCGTAGAGCTGTTGATTTTGGGAAAGGTTTGCCAGGACTCTGAGCTCCTGCTGAGCAGCATCAACATTGTACCTCAGAGCCTGGAAGGATGCGGGCGTTCCGCTGGTGTAAACAAGCCCCCATTGTGCAAAGCTGTGGTGTTTACACCAGGAGAAACGGCTCTGGGGTCCGCCTTGGGGCCAGGCTTCCTCTGCAGCTTTGTTCTGTGCTTGCCTTGGGGCTGAGGCCCTGCTGCCCCACGCAGGTGCTCATGGTTTCCAACCTTGTGATTCTATGATCTCCCCCAGGCCTTCAGGGGCAGCTGCTGGACCCCCCTGAGCCCAGAGGCAGCCACGGGGTTTGGTGGGCGCTCCTCCATCCATCGCCACTGCGCGGCCTTGGTTTCTGAGGAGGTATTTGCGCTGCGTTCCGCAGTGCTGCTGGGGGCACAAGCATTTCCTGACCTTCAAACGCATTCCTACCACGTACCGTGGGATGAGTCCACCTCCAATTGCTGCTGGTTCGTCTGCTCCTTTTTCCCTCAGTGCCATGTCAGCAGCGCTCAGCTCGGAGCTGTGGCTGCAGAGCCACAGGAACGCAGCTCTGAATCTGGGGGGATCCCTGAGCGTTGAGCTCAGCTGGAAGGATCTCCTCCCATCCCCCAGCCACAGCTTTCTGCACCAACCATACAATTTCTGGGCTCCTCATCGTGGCCGTCTTCACCCCAGGATACCATGAAATGCATTCAGCTGTGGCTGGTCTCAATCAGAACTGCTGTGCCAGGAATGAGCAGCACCTCTTGGAGTTCTCTTGCTTTTGCCGATGGTTTTTGAAAGTCAAATCGAAAGCAGCTCTCCCTGCAGTGTTCACCACTGAGATGAAGGAATTGAGATCTGTGAGCAGCACAGACTGTAGCTGAGTGGTGGCTGCTTGGTCTCTTTTCCGGGCACAGCTCTGCGGAGGAAAGCCATGCAACTGTCAGGCCTTGAATTTGGTACCGAAGCCACGCTGATCACATTGCTAAGCTTGGTTTCAGCAGCCTTGGTAGATGTTTAAATGCCTGAGCGAACAGTGTTTTCCTGCTAGGACAGCACACCTGCGTGCCCAGCTCTTTGCAGGCCAACCTGTTTCACTCAGAAGCTTTTCCAGCTCCTGAGATACTGCCTGGAGAACCTGCCCTGCTCACGGCTGCAGTTCTGGATGGCTCTGTGGCTGCAGTGCCTCCAAGAAGCAGCACCAGTTCTGCAGCCTGCGAAGCCCCGACACAGGAAGGGTGAAAGCTCGTGTGTGTGGGCAGAGTAAAGCCAGGGAAGCTGGCCAAGGCCACGGGCTGGTGGCCAGGGTGAGCCTTGAGCCCTGGCTTTGCTCAGGCTTGCCCCTTCTTGGAGCTCCATGTTGTGCCCTGGGCTCCATGCCTGTGGGATGGGCAGAGAGCTGCTCCAGTTTGGGGAGCATCAGGGCACAGATTGTCTGCTACTCCCCGCTGCTGGAGAGTGGAAGAGGGCAGGATCCTGGTGAGCAATTGGTAACGTGGGGCAGCTCAGGGGCTCGTGGCCGTTGCCTGGGTGTCACGGGGCTGCCTGGGCTCACGCTTGCTGCCAGGCTGCTCCTCGCTTTGCACTTTGAGGTCTGGAGAAGACTCCGGCTTGTGTAACTGTGGGAGGCTTCTGCTGTGATTTTAAATTCAGAAGCCTTGCATCAAAGCTGGCTGAGCAAAGGGAGAGGAGGGAAGGCGCTGCAAGAGCAGCAACGTGCCTGCAAGAGCGGGGCTCAGGGGGCAAATGATGTCCTGGATGCGGAGCGGCCCAGGTGCAAGCTGCACAGGATTGCCACAGGCAGGAAGTCAGGTGTGGCCAAACCAATGCTCCTCAGCTCAGCAGAGGACGGCAGCCCTCAGCTTGCATCATCACAGCGCTGGCAGTGGGAGGAGGAACCGAGTCCATCGTCTGGGCACACAGGGACAGAGGGACGTGGGCTGAGGCTGAGGCCAGCATTTCTTCTGTGCTGTACGGAGCCCTCGACCGCCCCGGTTGCGATTGCTGCTGTGCCATTGCATCACTTACAGGTAGAGACAGAGCGGGCTGAGGCTGTGAGCAGGGAAAGCTCCTCAAGGCTTTTAGTCTAGAGCCCAATCACAGAATCACCCGGGTTGGAAGGGACCTCAAGGATCACGTAGTTCCAACCCCCCTGCCCAGCAGGGCCACCAAACATCCACATTCAGATCAGGTTGCCCAGGACCCCGTCCAACCTGGCCTTGAACACATCCAGGGATGGGGCATCCACAACCTCCCTGGGCAGCCCGTTCCAGGCCCAACCGCTCTCCTTGTGAAGAACTTCCCCCTAACATCCAACCTCAATCTTCCCTCCTTCAAATTGGATCCATTTCCCCTCGTCCTGCTGTTGTCAGCCCTTTGGAAGAGTTTTACTCCCCTCCTGGGTGCCCAAATGCAGCTTGAAATAAAAACCAACAGCCAAAATGGGGGAAGAGCAGCTGACAAAGGGAGCAGCGCGCCCGGTGCGAGGGCTGGGCCGGATCGAGGTGTTTCCTTCTTGGCAAGCGATGCTTTCCCCGGAGAGCGCGGTCAGTTCCTGAAGAAGGGATGCTTGTTTTACAGCCCTCGCCACCTCCGTCCTCGTGCACACCTCACTCTGCCCTCCCTCTGTCCCCTCAGGTCTGCTAAGCGCTCCAACCATGTTCAGCAAGAAGAAGAAACGCATTGAGATCTCGGCGCCCTCCAACTTCGAGCACCGCGTCCACACCGGCTACGACCAGCAGGAGCAGAAGTTCACGGGGCTGCCGCGGCAATGGCAGGGCATCATCGAGGAGTCTGCCAAGAGGCCCAAGCCCCTGGTGGACCCCGTGTGTATCACAGCCATCCAGCACGGCTCACAGAAGGTAAGCGGCTCTGCGACGTGCTGAGGGGAGCGGTTGAGGGCTGAGGGGTGATGGAACCGTTTTGGGAGGTGTTTGTGCCCCCTCCCAGGGCTGCCACGGAGCAGGTAAGCTGGCCGTTAGGTTCCTGAAGCCTTTCAGCGTGCTCCACAACCTACTGCTTTTTCGTGTACCCCCTCCTGCCCACGTGGGAGGAAGATAAGTGCAGAGCAAAGCTTCTCCCCTTCCTCGCCCCGTTGCGTTCTGCTGAACGCTGGCAAAAAAACATGCCAGGGGAAAACATGACCAGAGCTGTGCCTGTCCCTTCCCACCGCATCCTCTCCCTTTGCCTGTTTCCCCAAACCACCCTTATGTCATCATTTTAAGTCTGGCTCGTCTGCTTGCCTCGGTTGAGGAAACCCACGCCGCCTCTGGTGTTCCTCTGCCTTCACCCTCCCTACGTCCCTGACTCTGCTCCCTTCTGCTCTGCCTGGCTGCTCTCTGTCGGTGATCAGAAAAGGCACCGACCCTGTTGGGGCCATGCTGTGCCCCCCGCTTGGGTGAGATGGACTTTGGCAGGAGTCAGGAAGAAATCCCGATGGCTTGAACTGCAGGAGGGGAGTTAGGGCACGGTGCTGTCCATGCGAGGGCTTCTGCTTTGCGGATGATCCTGGCAGCAATCCCCTTTGCTCAGTCTCACTCAGGCCGAGCTCAAAAGTCAGCACCAGCCAGAGGAGGGGATGGGCAGTGAAGCCTTGTTTGGGCTGAGGAGCTGATGGCTTCCAGAAGGAGAAGGGCTTGCAAACATGCAGTGCGGTGGTTGGGCTGTGGTGCTGCTGAGCAGCATGGAATCGTGGAGTTCTTTGCTATGAGAGCAGTGAGGTGCTGAACAGCTGCTCAGAGGCTGTGATGCCCCGTCCATCCCTGGAGGTGTTCAAGATCAGGTTGGATGGGGCCCTGGGCAGCCTGGTTTGGCATTAAACGTGGAGGTTGATGGCCCTGCGTGTGGCAGGGGGTTGGAGTTTTGTGACCCTTGAGGTCCCTTCCTACCCTGGCCATTCTGTGATTCCGTGGAGAAAAGATTGGCACATCCTTCCTGGAGACCTTGGAGATGATGCAAAGCCCAGGCAGCGCAGTAACTCTCTTTTAATACCCTTCTGCCTCCCCTCTAGCTGGTAGCAGAGCTCGGCTGTGATAGCAGAGGAGCGGGGCCCCAGCAGGAGTTTTGCTGTGTTGGCCCCCAGCCAGGCTTCTGCTGGGAGTGAAATCTGCTGCCGCTGCGTGGTTTCTGATGATCACGTCTGTGGCCAAACAAAGCCCCCTGCGCTCCGGGTCCTGACCAGGTGCCTCAAGGCAGAGCCAGAACTCACAGCAGCCCCCCGGGACCCTTCCCCACGAGTCCCTGCTGACGGGGCTCAGCCTGGCATTGGCCCGTATGGGAGGAGAGAGACAGCTGGGTCTGATTCCCGCTCTGTTTCCTACCTCCTGGAGGGGCTCGGGACAGCATGGGCAGACCCCTGAGGCTGTGGGGACGCCGGAGCTGCCTTCTTCCTGGCCTCCAACATCCCCGTCTGGTGCGGATCCCGTGGGCCACCTCCTATTAACGGTGCTCTGTTCGTCGTGTGTCAGCGGAGATCCCATCCCTCCCCTCGTCCCGTCTGTGTGAGCCGCCCCCTGCCCCCGTCACCACCAGGCATTTCATTTTTATTTTTGTTTTATTTTCTTTCATTTTTTTTGTTTGTTTGTTTGTTTCTTTTCGTTCTGTTTCGTGTTCCGTGTTCCTGTCTACCTCTCGTCCCGCGTCCTGCACAAAGACCATCGTACGGGGCACCAAAGCCGCCAAGGACGGCTCGCTGACCTGGCTGCTGGATGAATTTGAGAACATGTCCGTGTCCCGTTCCAATTCTCTGCGCAGGGACAGCCCCCCTTTCCCACCCCGGCGTGACCAGCTCTGCCAGGAGAACGGCCTTGCCGAGGATTTTGGCCGCAGCAAGGACAAGAGCTGCCCCGCACCCCGTGGCGAGCCCGAGCGGGGCAAGGAGCGACCCCGCGAGCGGGACCCGCAGCGGCCCCGAGGCCAGGAGCCCGGCCCCAGAACCGGCGGTCGCCCACCCCCTCCCGAGTACCCCAAGCCCCCCCCTGAACGGGACGGCCCCGCCGACAGGGACTGCGGCGAGCGGGACGAGCGCGTGGTGCGACGGGAGCGCGCCGAGCCCTGCGACAAGCGGCCCAAATCCACCTACGGCAACGGCAGCAGCCCTCAGTCCCCCCGTGACAAACGCCCGCTCTCCGGGCCCAATATCCGGACTCCCAACATCCCCGTGTCCGAAGGGGTGATGAAGACTGCCCAGCAGACGGGACGACCCTTTAATACCTACCCACGGGCTGAGACCGACCCCGTCCGGGGCGCAGGTGCACAGGTAAAGGCTCCTCCGCTCCCCCCGCTCTGAGCCGCTCCGCTTAGCAGAGATCTCTCCTTCCCCCGAGCCTCGGGGGGCTCTCCTCACTCTGCCTGGCCTCCGCCTCCTACAACTGCAGCCTCTCTGCTCCGCTTCCTAAGCCAGCGCCAGCTGAACGGCCTCCTTCGCTTCACTTACGACTGTGTTGAAGACCACGGCACTGCGGGGGCTGCGTCTGTTCTGTGCTTTCCTCCCCGGGGCTGTGCCACGGCTCCTCGCGCTCTCCTCTTTCCTCTCTGGTCTCCGAAGCGGCCGCCTGTGTTCATCTATCCCCATTCCTCGCTGTCCCTGCTCCTTCAAACCCATCTGATGCAATTCGTTCCTCCGACGCCGTCCAGCTCCGCTAAGGCCTGGACGCGGTGGCGTCGTCGGTGCTTTGGGGCCAGCAGCAACGTTCCGCACCATCCCTCGTGGCTCTGACGGCCCTCTTCTCTTTTTTGCAGGCTGAACCCCGGCCGGGCCGGCCTCAGGAGGCAGCACCCAACGGGCCAGCAAGCAGCGCCGCCGGCTCCTCCCGAGCCCAGCCCCCCGGCCCACCCCGCTCCAAGGTCCCTGAGCCCCCCGCTGGCCTCACCCCACACGCCTCCGAGCCCCACCTGGCCCGTCCTCCACAGCCCGGCCCCCCACCCCCTGCCGTCGGCCCCCAGCAGCCCCGCTCACCCCAGCGAGAGCCCCAACGCGTCTCCCACGAACAATTCCGGGCAGCTCTGCAGATGGTGGTGGATCCGGGAGACCCACGCACCTATCTGGACAACTTCATCAAAATAGGGGAGGGATCCACCGGCATCGTTTGCATCGCCACGGTGAAGAGCAGCGGCAAGCTGGTGGCTGTCAAGAAGATGGACCTGCGCAAGCAGCAGCGGCGCGAGCTGCTCTTCAATGAGGTACAGGCAGCGGAGCCCTGGGGTGCCTACGGGTGTCAGATACAGCTGCTTTGGGATGGGAGCTGGGGCTGCCACTCATGGAGTTTTGCGCCGGGAGCTTTGTTTCTCCCCGTGGCTCTTCTCGCTGTTGCGGAGAAGGGCCGATTACCGCTGCCCATCCACGAGCCCCTTTGCCCACCCCACCAAACCCAGCCCTGTGAGATGGGCACCGCCGAGCTCACCTCGCTCTGCCCGCAGGTGGTGATCATGCGGGACTACCAGCACGAGAACGTGGTGGAGATGTACAACAGCTACCTGGTGGGCGACGAGCTGTGGGTGGTGATGGAGTTCCTGGAGGGCGGCGCGCTGACCGACATCGTGACGCACACCCGGTACGAACCTGGGCCCCCCGGCCCCTCTCGGCCCCCTGGCCGCCCCCCCCCTGACCCTCTGCCTCCCGCAGGATGAACGAGGAGCAGATCGCAGCCGTCTGCCTGGCCGTGCTGAAGGCGTTGTCTGTGCTGCACGCGCAGGGCGTCATCCACCGCGACATCAAGAGTGACTCCATCCTGCTGACGCACGACGGCAGAGTAAGTGGCACTGCCACGGTGTGGCCCCTCTGCAACTGCTGCTCCCCTGCCCTGACCTCGTCAGGGTCTCATCAGGAAGTCTGCATGGGATCAGCCGGGTGGCAAACGCCGTCGGAGGGGCTCTTATATTAAGTTTGGCACCTGTGCAGCGCCGTGCCTCCTCAGGGCGCCCCAAGTGCTGGGCTTTGAGCCTCAACCAGAGGCCGCTCTGAGCCCCCAAATCTTTCTCTGGAGTTCCCTCAGTTTCCTGGAGGTGCCAAAACACCACCAGGAAACACCAGCGACACAAACACCGAAGGCACTGTGGTCGGAGGCGGACCGACTTCTTACGTGGTCTAACAGGACCAGGGGAGTGGTTTTAAACGGGAAGAGGAGAAATTGGGTTAGAAATCGGTAGGAGGAAACCTTTTCCTCAGTGTGATGAGGCTGAGGCACAGCTGCCCAGAGAAGCTGTGGGTGCTCCATCCCTCTGGGTGCCTGAGGCCAGCAATGGGGCCCTGGGCAGCCTGAGCTCCTAGGAAGAAGCGTGCAGCTCGCAGCACGGGTTGGGGCTGGGGGTGCTTTGGGATCCCTCGCAACCCAACCCTTCCAGGATTCCGTGCTTCTGTGATCTCTGGGATCCTTTCCAACCATTCTGTGCTTCACGCTTCTGATCACACGGGAGCCAGAGAAGCTTTTCGAGGCTTTGAGGCTCTTTGAGATGGATCTGCAGCCTGATGTGCAGCCTCACAGAGGGGTTGTGAGGCGACCTGGAGAAGCTCCCGGGACGGGGCTGATCCCGGAAGGCAGCGCTGAGAACGGAGCATCCCTGCCTGGTGCTGGGGGCAGCACAGCGTTCTCACGAGCCGCCTTCTCCGGCCTCCAGGTGAAACTCTCTGATTTTGGGTTTTGTGCCCAAGTGAACAAGGAGGTGCCGCGGCGGAAGTCGCTGGTGGGGACCCCGTATTGGATGGCACCGGAGCTCATCTCTCGCTTGCCCTACGGCCCAGAGGTGAGCCTGCGGTGCAGGGGGGCTCTAGGGGATGCAGGGAGGGGGAGGGGGATGTCAGCCCACCCACAAGCCCCACAAACGTCCGTCCTCCCCTGTGCAGGTGGATATCTGGTCCCTGGGTGTGATGGTGATCGAGATGGTCGATGGGGAGCCGCCGTATTTTAACGAGCCGCCGTTAAAGGCCATGAAAATGATCCGAGACAATCTGCCCCCCAAACTGAAAAACGTGCACAAGGTAAAGGGGGGGGGTTGGCTGGGCGGCTGCAATTGGGCAGCCTCGCTCAAAGCCCCCCGCCTGATCCCCCCCCTCCTGTCCGCTCTGCCCCTCAGGTCTCCCCCTCTCTCAAGGGCTTCCTGGACCGCATGCTGGTGCGGGACCCGGTGCAGAGGGCCACGGCCAACGAACTCTTGAAGCACCCCTTCCTGGGCAAGGCGGGCCCCCCCTCCTGCATCGTGCCCCTCATGCGCCAGAACCGCATGCGGTGAGGAGCCCCGCCGCCGTCCTCACCGTCGCCTCTTAACTGGATTTGTGACTGTGCCGCTACTGTGGGGGCACTGGGGGGGTCCTGGCCCCCCACGCCGTACTACTGAGTCGGGAGCTGGCGGGGGACGGCGGTGCGGCCGCGCGATGGCACCGGCCCTGTCCCCGATCCTTCCCTGCAGAGGCTTGGGGACGGGGGGCTTTTTCCTGACCGCTCGGGATCTGCTGTTACGGCCACCCTGGGATCCCTTTGGGCCATCTCAGCTCAGTCCCCGTTTCCCCCCATTTTTTGTTTTGTTTTCCCCTCTTCAATCTTTTTCTATCCTTTTCTGGCCCTGTGCCCTGCAGGAGGGCCGTGTCCAGTTCCCCCCCAGCCCAACACTACAGCCCCACGGCCACACTACTGATCTGGGTGTCCCCCCCCCCCTCATCCCAACACTTTTTTTTTTTTTTCCTCTGTTTGTTTCTGTCTTGTTTTTTAAACAAAGCTATTTATATTGTCGTTTTGTAACGCCACAGCGCTGGAGTGCCCCAGGGTTGCTATGGGGCCCCCTGGAGAGATTACACGTGTCCTTTTGGAGAGCGCCGTGTCCCACTGTGGTTTTTGGGCAGGGTGGCGGGGGCGCCGTGGGGCGGTGGGTATGGGGGCTACGGGGATCTGCCCGAGGTCACCCTACAGCTGCCGCTGCCTCGTCTCCCCCAAATAAAGTAGCGGCAAGGCAGGAGCTGCACATCCTCAAGGCTTTATTGGCTACGCTCAGAGCTGTGTGGGGTCAGGGGCTGGGGAGGGTGGGGGGCTGGCACAGCTCATGTGCCCACCTCTCACTGCTGACCTGTTCGTGGTCCGTGGGGTCAGGCAGGGGCCGATTCTGATCCCGTGGACGCGTTGGCTCGCGTCGCTCCGCAGGGCCTTGCGTTGGCCCACGTGGGCCCACTTGGGCGTGCGATGGCTGGTGGTGACCCGCATCCGCTCAGCGTGACGTGCTGGGCTGCAGGAGGACCAACGAGCTGCTGGTGCCGTGGAGCCACGCCGACAACCCGCAGCCTGCGTTGAGCTGCGCTCACTCGCGTTGACCCAGGTTGATGAGGGTCGACTCGCATCGAATGCTGGTAGGAGCGCGGCCTCACGCTGATGATCGGTGCCCGGCGTGGACCCTCGTTGCCTGGTTCACCCCATCTTGGTGCACGTTGACTCACGTTGACCCACGTTGACTGGTGTCGATCCACATTGATGAACGCCGCCCTGTGTTGGTCTACACTGACCGTTTCACCCCATGTTGGTGCACTTTGACTGGTGTTGACCCACGTTGAGTGGTTCTGCCCCACGTTGACCCACGTTGACTGATGTTACCCCATCTTGGTGCACGTTGACTGGTGTTGACCCACATTGAGTGGTTCTGCCTCGCGTTGACCCACATCAACTGATGTTACCCCGTCTGGGTGCTTGATGACCCACATTGAGTGGTTCTGCCTCGCGTTGACCCACGTTGACTGATGTTACCCCATGTTGACTCGTGTTGACCCACGTTTACTGGTGTTGACCCACGCTGAGTGGTGTTGACCCACGCTGAGTGGTTCTGCCCCACGTTGACCCACGTCGACTGATGTTACCCCCTCTTGGTGTGTGTTGACCTACGTTGACTGGTGTTGACCCACATTGACTGGTTCTACCCCACGTTGACCCCACGCTGCGTGGAGCAGCCCCGAGCGGCCCTGCGCCCTGCTCAGCTGCACGTACAGTAGTAGGACTTGATGGCATTATTCCAGTTCAGGAAGAGCCCCCTTCTCACCTCCTGCAGCCTCGGGAAAGAGCCTGCCGAAAAGGTCTTTTTGTTGCCTGCCTTCCCAGCCTTGGACCAGACCTTCAGCTCACAACGCTTTCCCACCACCAACGAGGAGACTTTGCCGGACCAACCCGTGGGCATGTAGGGGACGTCGGCATCTGGAAGCACGCTGAGCGAACTGCCGGCGCAGCACTCGTCGTAGTAAACGCTGTTCTGGGTGTAGAGCTGAGCACAGAGCCGCGTGCCGTTGTCCGGCTTCAGATCGGCCGCGGTCGGGCACTCAGCCCCGCACACCGCCAGCACCGCCGCCAGCACCGCAGCCAGCACCGCCGCCATCTCGTCGTGCCGTTCCCCGCAACCGGCGCTCAGATATACCCGATCCCAAGGATGCGGGAAGGACGGGAAACCACCACGTGTCTGCTCCCACTCCACGTGCCGCCCTGTCCCTCCTGGGAAGGGACCCAGCTGCACAGGCCTGACCTTCTCCCCCCCACCCCAACCCCCTCCCCCCCCTCCCGGGACCACCAAGCCTGGGAGCGAACCCAGATGTCACGGCAAAAGGACACGGTGTCCCCCTTCCCCCTGTGCCAAAAGCCGCACCTGGGCCGTTCCCAGCCGTGGCGGGGGGGCACAAGGCCGGGATCCGATGTGACGGGGGGGGTGGGGGGAGACGAGGCCAGGCGGCTGCCGACGTCTCCTTGACCCCTCACCCCCACCGGCGGCAGCGGGTAATTTGCGGTAGGAAGCAGCAGAGGGCGAGGAAAGAGGTGGGGGGCATTCAGCCACGCCCCTCATTTGCATAGTAATGAACCCAAGGCTCGCCCGTCTGGCAACCGCAACCCCCCCCCTGCTGCCGTGGCCCCGCCTCTCATTTGCATATCAGGCGCGGTCTGTGCCGGGGGGAGCGCCCACTCCTCTCCCCCCCCCCAAAAACAGAAGAGCGTTTCCCTCTGCGCTTCACACACAAAAGGTTTAATGGCCCCGGGTGGGGGGGGGGGCACAGGTTTTTAATGTAAAAACTTGTGTTAAACACTGCGGAGGGCCGGGGGGGCGGCTGGTGGGGGGGGGGCGGGAGGGGGTAACGATGGGAGTGGGAGGAGAAATGGGACTTTGGGAGGAGCGGAGAAACGAGTCGAGGGGATACAGGGGGACAGATAGGGCATGGGGGGGGGGGGGGTGGAGGGGGGCTGTCGCGGGGGGGGGCCCGACCCCCGCGGGGGTATCCAGACCAGCCAGATCGGGGGGGGGGGGGGGGGCTGCGGGGCTCGTGTCATCTGTGCAGACATTGCGGGGGCTTGCGCGGGGCCCCCCCGCCGCCACCCGGCCGAAGGCACCGCGGGGGGGGCCGGGCGCAACGTGTGTCGGGGTTGTTGGGGAGGGGCGGGAAGGGGGGGAGCGAGGAGGGGGAAGCACCCAGGGGCGCCCCGGGGGGCTGGTGGGGGGGTTAACGAGTGGGTGCATATGGTGGGGGCACCCAAAGGTGCTGAGGCTGCACGAGGGCACCCGTGGGTGTCCGGGTGCCCTGGGGCATTGGGACCCGCGGTATCCGTTGGCACCCAGGGGTGCAGAGGAACACCCAAAGGTGCTGAGGGGCATCCAAGTGTGTATTTGGACCCCCCGTGTTCTCTGGCACCCAATACTGCGTTGGGGCACCCACGGGTGCAGAGGAGCCCCACTCTCCCCCCTACCCCCCCCCCCCCAGCCGTTTTCAAGCCCCCGCAGCTCACCAGCACCTGGAGCCACTTCCAGCACCCAGAGCTGCACCCGTAGGTGCATCAGGGCCCAGGACTCCCAAAGGGTCCACTGGTACCCAGGGGTGCAGCAGAGCACCTGAAGGTGCAGAGGGGCATCCAAGGGCACACTTAGACCCCCCACGTCCACTGGCACCTATTGAAGCTGGGAGGCACCCAAGGTTGCATTTGGGCACCCAAAGGTCCACGGGCATTCGAAGGCGCAGAGAAGCACCCCGCTCTGCCTTCCAGCCCCTAAGGGCACCCAAAGGCGCTCAGCGGCACCCGGAGCCGCTTTTGGCACCCAAGAGCGCACCCGGGGGCACCTCCAGAGCCGCCTCCAGCGCCCCGGGGTGCCGCCCCCCCCGTCAGACGGTGCTCTCCAACATCCAGTGGGTGCTGCCGAAGGACGGGCGCAGCGCTGGCAGCGCGTCGGGCGCATCGAGGCGCGGCAGCGATCCGTGCCGCCGAGTCCGGGCGCGCCGAGGGAAGCTGTGGCTGGGAAACAACGCACGGGAGCCGCCGGGGGCGCTCAGAACCGGAGGCGCCGGAGGAACCGCTAAGGGCTGCGGTGGAGGCGGTTCGGGCTCCGGGGCTCTGTGGGTGCCGTTGGTCTGCGAGCAGACGCTGGCGACTGCGGCGGGAGGACGGCGGGCGGCTTTGTAGCGAGCGGTGAGGATGAGGATGAAGACGAGGACGGAGGCGGCGATGGCGGCACCGATGACGATGATGACGGTGCCCCCCAGGAAATGGGGCCGGGGGGCGGCGCAGCCCGGGGTCCCCCCAGCGGTGGCGAAACGGACGCAGCCCAGAGCCCGGGACGCGGGCGGTGCCGCGGTGCCTTCGGCGTAGAGCGCGGAGACGCACAGGTCGTATTCGCGGCCAGCGGCCAAATCCCGCAGCACGAAGCTCCGGCTGGACGGCGGCAGCAACCTGCGGGGAAGGGGGGGTGGAAAAGGGTGGGGGGGGGCGGCTCAGGGTCCCCGCAACGCAACACGCCGCTCTGCGGCTCCACGCGGCCCCTGCGGCGTTGAGAGGCACGGCGCGGCCCCGTGCGATGCCCTGCGGTGCTCCGCGGCGCCGTGCGACGCCCTGCACGCCCCCTGGGTCTGCGCCGTGCCAAGCGATGCCTCGCAGCCCCGTGCGATGCCATGCGGAGCCCCGTGACCCCGCAATCCCATGCAGTGACCCCACAAACGGTCTCCTGTCCTGCAACCCCCAAGTTGGATGGAGCCCAGGGCAGCCTGGGCTGGTGTTAAAGGTGGAGGATGGTGGCCCCGCAAGTGGCAGAAGAGCTTCCTGATCCTTGAGGTCCCTTCCAACCCCGGCCATTCTGTGATTCCGTGCAACACCCCCAGGCCCGAGCCATGCTCTGCAATGCCCTGGCGACACCTCGCCATGCCTGGCAGCTCCATGCAACACCACGCAACGCCCCGTGGTCCCGCACATCCGAGCAGCGCCACAACGCACCACCAACACCACCAAACCCCACATCCTGCAGCCTCGCATCCCCCCTCCCCACTTTCCGGAACGCCTCGCAGCCCAAACCTGTAGACGAGCGAGTCGTCGATGGAGCTGTTGTACTGGATCTGGAACATGCGCAGCCCAGGCACGTGGCGCTGCGGCAGCCAGCGGATGCGCGCCGACGACGCCGTCAGATCCGCTGCCACGATGCGTCGCTCCGCGCCCACCGACAGCGATTCGTTGGCTCCAGCCCGCGCCATATCCGAGGGGCCGGGACCGGCCTGAGCTTCCCCGTCCCCATCCCCGTGCCGGTGAGGCACCGGCAACGGCAGCACCGCCACCTCCACACGCGCAGCGGCCTCCCCGGCAGCGTTGGACGCCACGCAGGTGAAGGCGCCGTGGTCGCGCAGCGTGGCCACGCGCAGCTGCAAGGAGCCGTCGGCACCCAAGGCTCGCCGTGAGCCGTTCTGCACCAAACGCCCGTCGGGACCCAACCAGTGCAGGGCGGGCGGGGGGTCTCCGTTGGCCGCACAGCCCAGACGCAGCGGTTGCCCTTCCAGCACCGCGCTGGGACTGGCGGCCGCTCCGGCGATGTGGGGAGCGCGGCACGCCAGCTCTTCCTCGGGCACAGCCCAGAGCAGGCGGCCGGCGAGCGACGGCGGCGAGGCGCAGCTCTCCAACCCGTCGGGCCGTGCCAGGCGCCGCAGCCACAGCAGCTCACAGTTGCAGTGTAACGGGTTGCCTCCCGCTGCCAGGCTGGGCCCCGGAGGGCCCGGTACCGGGGGCAGCACCCGCAGGCGGTTGGCGGTCAGGTCTAGACGGGCCAAGCGCGGCAGGCGGCTGAGCGCCGTGGCGGGGACGCGCTCCAGCAGGTTGTGGTCCAGAGTCAGCGTGGCCAGGCTGGCCATGGCCGCCACCGCCTCCCAGGGCAGAGCCGGCAGGTTGTTGTGAGACAGATCCAAATCCTCCACGGTGGCGGCGAAGGCGGCGAAGGCGGCGGGCTCGATGGCGGCCAGCTGGTTGTTGGCCAGGATGAGGTGCCGCAGGCTGGCCAAGCCGCGCAGCTGCGGGCCGCTGAGCGCCGGCAGCCGGTTGCCGTCCAGGTGCAGCGCCCGCAGCGCCCGCAGGTCAGCAAAAGCACCGGGCGCCAAACGGCGCAGCCCGTTGCGCGACAGCGTCAGGTGAACCAGGCTGCTCATGTTGGCGAAGTCGGCGCGGCCCACGGAGCCGATGAAGTTGTCGGCCAGGCGCAGCTCCACGGCTCCGCGGTCCAGGCTGGGAGGCACCGCCAGCAGCCCCGTGCGGGCGCACAGCAGAGTGGGGCTGGGGGCGGCCGCGGGGCAGAGGCAGCGCGGGGGGCAACGCTGAGCCACCGCCCCCAGCACCACCAGCGGCACCAGCAGCTTCGCCATCCTGCGCCGGCCTGGGGGTGAGCCCGCGTCAGACCATCCCACGCTATGCGAGCCCCTAATCCCACGTATGATCCCGCACCCGGCCCCACGTGTGCGTGTGATCCACATGCAACGCGGCGTGTGATCCCATCACCCCGGGTAAAGCATTCCCGTGTGACCCCGCGATGTTAATCCTGCGTGATCCCAGGCGTCACCCCACGCCTGTGATTCCACGGTCCCGCAATCCCACGTGAAACAATCCCACCTGTGATCCCACACACGATCCCCTGTGCTCCTGCCCCCACTCCCTCGTGGCCCTGTGTGTGATCCCGAGCAATGCCGCGCGCGATCCCGCGTGACCCCGTAACCCTTTGTACGACCCCCTCTGATCCTGTATGGGATCCTGTGTGTGGCTCCCATCGCAATCCCACCAGCGACCCCATAAGCTCAGTACCTCCTCTCACAGCTCCATCTTGATCCCGACCGGGTGCTGCCACAGGGCCTGTGGGAGAGGGGATGAACCAGTATGGACCAGTACACACCAGTACATCCCACTACGCCTCTGTACAGCCCTGTATGACCCAGGAAGGCCTGGAACAGCACAGAAAAGCCCAGTACAGCCCAGTATATTCCTAACACGACCCAGTATGGTCAGTGTGGGCACAGCCCAGTGTAGACCAGTACAAGTCATAGCAGTGCAACGTAGTGCAGGATGGCCCAGTAAGGCCCAGTATGCCTCAGTATAGCCCAAACCAAAATGGTCCCAGTATGGGCCAGTATCGCCCAGGATGATCCGATGCAGCCCAGTATGGCCCAGAGTAGCCCAGTATAAACCGACAGAGCCCAACCTAAGCCCAGCACAGCCCTGTCCAGCCCAACGCAGCCCTACGTAAACCAGCGTGACCCAGTGTAAGTCTTACACGGCCCAGTACAAGACAGCACCGCTCAGTGAGACCAGTGCCACCAGTAAGACTGAGTGCAGCCCAGTATGGCCCTACCCCAGAGCAAGGCCCAGCACAACTCAGCACTGACCAGCATCGCCCAGCATAATGCAGTGGGACCCAGCACAACTCCAAAGAGCCCAGTACTGTCCAGTATGGCCCAGTTGTAGCCCAGTACAGCCCAGGAAGGCACAACGCGGTCCAGCAGAACTCAGCACAGCCCAGTAAAGAAAGCCCAATATTATGCCAGTGTAACTCAACAAGGTCCATCCCAGCACAACCCAGTACCGCCCAGTAAGACCCAGTGGGGACCAGAACACTGCAGTGAGGCTCAGCACAGCCCAGTACCTCCCAGTGCCACCCAGTACAGAACAGTGCTGCTCAGCAGGGTCCAGCACAGCACAGCAGGTCCCAGTACCTCCCAGTATAGAGTAGCACAACCCAGTACTGCCTAGCAGAGGTTCCAGTACTGCCCAGTATAACCCAGCTCAACCCAGTACCTCCCAGTATAGCCCTGTATGGCCCCCTGCTGCCCAGTACAGCCCAGCAGGGGCCAACAGGTCCCAGTATAGCCCAGTATAGAGCAGCACATCCCAGTACTGCCCAGTAAGGCCCAAGACCTTCCAGTATAAAGCATCACAGCCCATCGTTGCCCAGTAGGCTCTGGTACCACCCAGTATAACCCAGCGCTGCCCAGTATAGTCCAGCACATCACAATACAGCCCAGCACCACCCAATAAGGCCCAACACGGCCCAGATCCACCCAAAGCAGCCCAGTACGGCCCAGTACGGCCCGGTACCACCCAGCCCGGCCCATCCATCCCCCCGCTCCCCCCATCCATCCCCGCATCCCGAGGTTCCCTCCCCTCCCCGAGGTACCTGGGTGAGGGCTCAGCCCACGGCCACTCCCATCGCGGCTCCGGGCGTTCGGGGCCCGTTCAGGCCTCGCCCCGGCGACGACCCATAGACGGGGGCGGCCCCGGTCCGGCGGGGCGGGGAGTGACGGCTGGTGGCTGTGCGGGCGGAGCGGGATGGGCCCGCCGTGCCCGGAGCCGGCCCAGGGCCGCCGCTCGGAGCCGCAGCGCCGCCGGGGCGGGGCGGGGCGGGGCGGGGCGGGGCGGAGCGAGGCGGGGCGGGGCGGGGCCGCTTTCCCGCACCGGGGGTCCCACACGGTGCGTGGGGCCGCGTGGACGGCAGCACCGCGCGACGGCTCCGCGGCGGCCGAGGCCCCGCCTCCTGAGAGACCACGCCCCCTTCAAGCCACGCCCCGTTTCCATTATAGACCACGCCCCCCGTCGGGCCACGCCCCCCGCAGCGCTCGTCGTGACCGCGGTGGGGGCGGTGCCTGCGCAAAGGGGCGTGGCCATGTTTACTGCCCTCTCCCCTCCGCCTGGCTCCATCCCATTGGCAGCACCGCCGTCCAATGAGAAATCGGAGCGGGGCGGAGGGGGCGGGCAAACCTCTGCCGGATGTCGCCTCCCCGCCCCACCGCATTTCATTGGCCGCAGCCGCGAGGGCAGCGGAAGAGGTGGGACGAGGCGGGAGGCGCATGCGCGGTGGCGCGGTGACGCACCGTGCGTGCCGTGCGCGTTGACGTTGCGCGGCGGCGACGGCGCCTGTGAGTGCAGCTGCGGTGGCGGCGGTGAGTGCGGAGCCGGGCCCAGGCTTCGGCTTCTCTGCCCCTCCGGATCCTCGGGCCGGGCTCCGGCCTCTCCTCGCGGCCTACACTTCCGTACCTCTCCGGTTGCGGCCTTCCCGGATCGGGCCTCGCGTGACCGCTCCCCGGTGCCGCCTCCGCCCTCGGGCGGGCCCCGCTGCCCTGGAGCTGCCCCGGTTCCCGCGTAGCTCCGCTCCCATCTCCCCAAAGCGTGCGACCCTCGGTGGTGCCGGGCCTTGAGGTGCTCGCGTTCCTTTTCCCGTTGCCATTCTCAGCCCCTTTTCTCCTTAGGGATCTCCGAGGTTCTCTCTGCGCACCGACGAGGCCCGACCGCAGCCCTCGGGGCCTCCAGCCCACCCCATGCCCACGCCGGCCCCGGGGGCCACCGAGAGCGACTTCAGGCCCCTTCGCGGCCCCCGCGCTGCCGCCATGTGAGGGGGGGGGCACGGCCGGGCCCGTGTTTTCCCCCCCCTTCCCCCTCCCCCGCCGTTGCCCCCCCTACTCGCCATGATGTTCCGGGACCAGGTGGGGATCGTGGCCGGGTGGTTCAAAGGTTGGAACGAATGTGAGCAAACCGTGGCGTTGCTTTCGCTGCTGAAGCGCGTCACCCGCACCCAGGCACGCTTCCTGCAGCTCTGCCTCGAGCACTCTTTGGCCGACTGTGCTGACATCCACCTTCTCGAGGCTGAGGCCAATAGTGCCGGTGAGTGGGATCTTCCTGCCCCAGCTCTGGGCGCCCCTTTTTGGCCCACGCACGTATTGGTGAAAGGCTCGAGATGCCGTTGCTGTGGGTCTGGGTGGCCAAACGGGCTCTCGGTGCAGTCAGTGGGTGGTGAACTCCCATTCTGTGTGGTGTGAGGTGAGGGGTCCCTCTCTTTCTCCGGGATTCCGCACCTCTTGCTGCTCCCTGGGGGGTGGTTGAGATGCTGTCGTTATCCTTGGAAGGTTTCTGCCCCCCCTGCTGCTCTCGGACTGGGGAATATCCCCCTCTTGCTCCCCCCTAACCTATTGCTCCTTCGCCTTCCCCAGCTGCCATCAGTCAGTGGCCACAGGAGCCAGCAGAGGCAGCAGTGGCCCTGCTGCTGGCCCACCTACCCCTGTTGCAGCCGGGCAATGCTGCTGCCAAGGCTGAGTACATGAAGCGGCTGCAGAAAGTGCTGGCCTACGCCATCGAGAGCAACCGATGCGTGGAGGAGAGCCGACAGCTCCTTTCCTATGCCCTCATCCACCCTGCCACCACCCTGGATGACCGCAGTGCGCTGGCCCTGTGGCTGGGCCACCTGGAAGAACGTTTGGCCGGAACCCCGCAGCCACCACGTCCCCCTCCTCGCCCCGATGCTGCACCCCCCCCACCCCGCCGTGCCCCCCACGACTGGCCTGAGCACGGACCCCCTGAGATTGGGCCCCCCTGGCCTGAAGCAGCTCCCCGGGAAAACGGCCACCCCCCTTTTCACCCCCCCAGCAGTGGCAATGGCCTGGGGGGCACAGGTGAGTGGGGCTGGAGGGGGGGCAGCGCAAGGGGATGTGGGAAAGAATAACTGAGCTGCGGGGGGTGGGGGCATGGGGAACCGGAAGGGGTTCTGAAGGGACAAAGTGGGGTGGCTGGAGAGGGTAAAAGGGTTAAAGGGGGCCTGAGTGTGGGGAGGGGGGGAGTGGGGGGAAACTGGGATAGTGGGAATATAAATGTGAGGAGGTGATGGAAATAAATCTGGAAGCTAAAGAGGGCAACGGGGACCAGAAAAGGGACCATAAAGGAAATGTGGGGGTGGAACAACTGGAGGGGGTGGGAGGAGTGGGGTGGGACCTGGACCCAACAGCCGCCTCTCCGCAGCGCTGCCCTGCCAGCTGCACCCCAGCCCACTGAAGCGCTCCCTGTCGCTGGTGCCTGGCAGCCCCCAGGGGGGCAGCGGTGAATGGCCAGGGGGGGGCGAGGAGCCAGGACCCCCTCGCACCCCCTTCGGCGACCACGCGCCCCTCTCACCCCAGAGCAGCGTGGCCTCCTCGGGCAGTGAGCAGACCGAGGAGCCCACCGGTGGCCGCAACACCTTTCAGGAGGATGGCAGCGGCATGAAAGGTTGAAGGGGGGTGTTCCTGGGGGGGGGGGAGGGGGGTTGGGAGGGGAGGGATGGGGAGGAAAATGCGGAGATGGGGGTGTTGTTGCCACCTCCCCGCTCCAAATCCTGCTGCCCCCTTCAGACGTCCCCTCCTGGCTGAAGAGTCTGAGGCTCCACAAGTACGCAGCCCTCTTCTCCCAGATGACGTACGAGGAGATGATGACGCTGACAGAACACCACCTGGAGTCGCAGGTGAGCCGCGCTGCCCTGCGTCCTCTCCCCCTTCACCCAACTTCCGTCCCCCCAAACCTAGAATGTGCCTCACGTTCCCTGCTGGTCCCCCCCTTGTCACCACAGAACGTCACCAAGGGCGCGCGGCACAAGATTGCCCTCAGCATCCAGAAGCTGCGGGAGCGGCAGAGCGTTCTCAAAGCACTGGAGAAGGTGAGCGGGGTGGCCTTGTGCTCCCCAATGGTGGCTTCTGTTTGCTCTGGGTTTTTCTCACCCTCTGTGTCCCCACTCGTGGCACTGGGTGTAACTGATCTCGCCCACATCCATGTAGATGGGGGGGAGGGAGGTTGTCCCTGATGATTTCAGATGCTTTTTGCCCCTTGAGTGTTTCCGGGGCTATTTGGCTGCTCCGTGCCCCTTCCTGTGACAATTGTTTGCCTCCATGTCCCCTCAGGACATCTTGGAAGGTGGGAACCTGTGGACGGCATTGCAGGAGCTGCAGCAGATCATGGTGACGCCCATCAAGGCCTTCAGGCCCCCACCTGCCCCCCCTGCTAATGGAGCACATGACGGGGCTCCCCCAGGGGCTGCCGATGCCTTTGCCCCCCACCCAGCTGCCGACACTGAGGCCCCCGCAGCCCCCGTCCCTGATGGAGACATCCCAGGGCAGTTCACTCGTGTCATGGGCAAAGGTGAGGGCCCCACTTGTGTGAGGTGGGCTGCTGTGGGGGGAGGGAGCGCCGTGCCCTGGACCCACTGACAAGTCCCCCCCCCTCTGCCCCCCAGTCTGCACCCAGCTGCTGGTGTCACGGCCGGATGAGGAGAACATCACGAGTTACCTCCAGCTCCTTGAGAAGTGCCTGAGCCACGAGGTAGGATTGAGCTGGGGGGTCTGGGGGGGGGGCACAGGACCTCGCTTTGCATCCCAGCCGCCTCATGGCCCCCCCTGCACCCACAGGCGTTCACGGAGACGCAGAAGAAGAGGCTCTTGTCTTGGAAGCAGCAGGTCCTGAAGCTGCTCCGCGCCTTCCCCAAGAAGGTGCCACTTGATGGCCAGGGCTACCGGCCTCCCAAAGGGTAGGAGGGCTTGTGGGGGGGCCTCAATTCTACGTGGACCTCACCCCAACACCCTCTTTGTTCCCCTTGGTGCCTTATTCACCCATCCTGGGATCTCCAGCTCCTGAATTTTCCTTTGTGTCCCCCTGCGAGCCTGGGACCCCCCCACCTCGAGGTTCCTCTTTGTCCCCTGTGCTCCCTCTGCCCCTTTCCGTCCTGTAGATGCCCCATTTTCCACCTGAAGGGCTTAAAGACCCCCCTGGGTGCATTCTGGATTATCCCCTGCCTTTTCTGGGGGAGCAGCTTGGGGGAGTTTAGGGGTGCAGTCCTGTTCCCTCACTTTGTTTCCCTCCTGCCCGCAGCTGGAGCTTTGGCTCCAACTCGCTCCCCATAGCTGGCTCTGTGGGAGGGGCGGGGGGGCGGCGGGGGCAGCGCCCCTTTGCGTTGCCCCCCCGTGCGCTGCCCCCCGCCCGCATGGGGCTGCTGGGCCCTGCTGGGGGGGGTCCTGCCCCACGGCCTCCCCTTGGTGCCGCCCCGCTTGGAGCTCAAGGACGCCAGGTGAGCGATGGCGACGCAGCCGGCTGTTGTGGGGGCGCCGTGGTGCTGAGGGGACTGGAGTGGGGATGATGGCTTTAAAGTGGGAGGGTGGAAGTTAAGAGCCTGCTAAGGAGGGTGATGGGGGCCTCGGGAATCAGGGTGGTTTTTTGGGAAGGGTCCTGCAATGGGAACCACGTCTGGGGGTGGAGGGGCAGCATTGCCAGGTGAGGGGTTTTCACAGCTGGGGGAGAGCATTGCTGCCCACCCCCCCAGTCTCCTCGTCCCCCTCATCTTCTGCATCATCCTCTGCATGTGGAGGATGTCACCGCCAGCTGGTGGGGCTGGGTCTTTTTCTTCATGCCTGGGGGAGGTCTTCTATAGATGGGAGCCAAAGGAGCCCCTGGATGCTGGGATCTTTATGGGGGTGCCTTTTATTTTTGCCACCGATGCCCCCTCCCAACCCCCCCCCCCCCCCCGGACCCTTTTCCCCCCACTGCCTTTATCTTACCACCCAATCTGTCTCCCAATCCACCAGAGCCTGTGGTTCAGCAGCGGGGGGGCTGGGGGTGCCCCGGGGAGCCGCAGCGTGGTGCAGCGCACCCACTCGCTGCCCGTCCACACCTCACCCCAGGCCCTGCTTGCCTTCCCCCAGGGTAAGTCCGAACTGAAGCTTGGGATGGGGAGGGGAGAACAACATCATGTACCCTCACCCCCCGCCCCTTTTTACCCCCCCGACCCCTTTTAACCCCCGCCTTGGCCCTACAGAATGTCCCGTCCCTGGCACGGACTTAGAGATCAACCCCACGCTGGAGTCGCTGTGCCTGAGCATGACGGAGCACGCGCTGGGGGGTGAGCGAGGGGGGGAGGAGGGAAGGAGGAGGGGGGGGCTGGGGAGGGGTGGGAGAGGGGAGGGGTGGGAGAGGGGAGGGTGGCCAGAGGTGCCCCTTCCATCTCCCCCCGACCCGCTTCTCCGTCTCCCTGCAGATGGCACAGACAAGACCTCAACCATCTGATGGCCCTGCCCCTACCACAGGGGTGCTGCACCCGTTGCTCCCCTCTCCTCCTCCTCCCCCTCCCCCCTCATCCTACTCTGTGCTGTGATCATTGACCCCACCCTGGGGGGGGCCCTGAAATGTTTATTGGGGGGGAGGGAGGGGGGGGTTGGAGAGGGGGGAAGGGGGAGAAAATGGGGAATTCCCTCCTTCCTTTATCCACTAAGGCCAGGCTGGGGGGGGCACGTTCCTCATCCCTGTACAACCAAGGGGGCTCCCGGGGCCAATGACTTTGCTGGAGGGGGGGGCACGAGTGTGCAGGGCTTGTGAACACTACAGGGGCTGCACGTGGGGGCAGGGCTCTCCTGGCCCATTTTCAGTTGGGTTTTCATTGCGTTTAACATTTTTAATAATCCCCCCTATTTTTTTTTTTGTTTTGTTTTGTTTCTGTCGTTGTCGTTGTTATCTTTATTATTATTATTATTATTATTGTTATTATTATATTAATATTATTTGCCCCCGGCAACAGCAGCTCCCCAGGGTGGTGGGGGAGGGTCGGGGTGCAACGTCGCTGTGTCCCCCTGTGCCCTGGGAGGGGGGAGATGATGCACCCCTGATTTAGGTACACGTTGATACCCCAGGGAGGATGGGTGGCCCTGGCACCTCTTGCCCCCCTTTGCCCCGCTCGGTACAGCCTCCCCCCCCCCCCCCCCCCCTTTGTACACGTAGCGCCACGGCCCTCGAGATAGAAACGTTATTTTAGATACATTTTATTATGAATAACTTTTGTTATGACTATGGCTGGTAACCATGACTACGTTATTAAAGATAAAAATAAAATAAAATTAAAAAAACAACAAAAAAAAACAAACAAAAAAAAACAACCAAACAAAAAAATAACCCCCCAAACCCCCATCGCCTTTTTCTGCCCCACGGGGGTGGGGGGGGGGGAATGGGGCGCAGATCACCCCCAGCTTCAGTCGCTGGAAGAATCAGAGGCTTCACTGGGGCTCTCGTCATCTGAAGCTTCGCTGGGGCTGAGCCGGGGGCTGCGGGGCGGCCCCCCCTCGCTGCCCCCACCTTCCGATTCTTCCTCCTCATCGTCCTCTTCTTCATCCTCGTCGTCGTCGCTGCCAAAGATCTCTTCCTGGTCGCGGGCAGCGCGGGCGGCATCGCTGCCCCCCCGCCGGGCCCCCCTGGCCTCCTCCTCCTCTTCATCTTCTGCCTCGTCCTCGCTGCGGGCTGAACCTCCCTGCTCGCTGCTGCTGGCACCGGAGCCTTCAGCCTCCTCTTCTTCATCGCCACTCGCCGCTCCCTCGCTCTCGCTGCCTTTCTCCCGCTCTTCATCTAGGGAGAGATCAGTGAGAGCCATCGAGGCGGCCGCCCCCAGGCAAGGAGTGCTGCCTGCCCCCAGCGCTGCTCACCTGAGCCTGCCGCCTCCTTCTCAGCCTCCATCTCCTCCTCCTCCTCTTCCTCAGGCTCGTGGTTCTCCAGCTGCGCCCTCCGTGCCTCCTGCAGAGGAAGGAAAACTCAGCTGCCCCCTGGGAGGGGAGGCAGAAGTGGCCCAAAGGGTCAGGGGGGGGCTGCTGGGGGTCCTACTTGTGCTTCCAGCTCCTTCTCGTTCATGTCGCGGTGCTTCACCACCAGCACTGCGTTGGTGCCTGACTGCACCCCTGCCCGCGCTCTGCGCTTGCTCAGCCGCACCCTGAGGGTCAGAGGGGGTCAGGCAGCCCTGTTATCATCCTCCCGCCCCCCGCCTTTTGCAAGGTGAGGCTCCCAAACTCACCTGGTCTCCAGCTCGTTGTAGTAAACGCCATCACCCTCCCGGAAGATAAAAAAGTAGTTCTCCTCGTAGCCCTTGCTGGCTTTGTTTTTCACGTTCCAGTTGTACTCACGTGCAATCTTGTAGTCGTACCTGGTGAGGGAATGCAGGTCAGGAGACGAGAATTAACTGGGACGGTAGGACCTCCCCCTCCAAACCGTCCCCCTCTGCTGCCAGACCATCTCCTCCCTTCTTCTTCCAGACCCCCTCCACAAAAACCCAGAGGCACTCTTGATTTGCCTTCTGTTGTAGGGTGCCCCCCTGCCCCACTCCCCCATACACGTCCTCGGGGGCGTAGTCCATCTCCTCCTCCTGATCCCTCTTCCGTTTGCGCAGCGTCTCCTCCACAGGAAGGAAATAGGCCACAAACTGGTTCCCCTCCTCGTCCATCATCCCCCTGGGGGCAGGAAAATGTTAACGCAGCTGTAGGGGGCAACCATCACCCCCCCCCCCCCTCAGCCCTTGGTGTTCAGCTCCATCCTATTCACCTGATCATGGCCTGGGACATCATTTCCAGTGCTGCAGCACCGCTCGTGTCCTTCGGCGCTGGATCCGAGTCAAAGATGACTTGGGCACAGGGATTGATCCACATCTGGGGCAGGGACAAAAGCAGAGGTGTTTGGGGCCACAACAAACCCCCCCCAACCCCCCTAAGCACACGCCACGCACCCCACACCCTACCTTGAAGTCAGGGAAGACGGGCATGACTTCGATGGGGGTGACGCGAGGTTTGCTGTAGTGCTGTGTGATCTGAGGGGAGTGGGGGGGGGGGGGGGAGAACCACACAGGATGGGGTCAAGACGGCCCCCCCCCTTACTCCCAAAAGCAGGGTGGGAGACCCCAACCCACCCCCATCCCCCCTCCCAAATCCCTTCTCACCGCTTTCTGAGCGTCTTCAAAAGTCTTCTCGATGGCGGCAATTTGGCTGTCGCGGTCTTTGTAGATCTCTTCTTCTGTGAACTGTTGTTTCACCGAGACTCCGATCCTGGATGGAGACGGGCACAGCGGCAGCGGGGGAAGTTCGGGGGGCGGGGGGACGAGGAGGTTGTGCCCCTCCTGCACCCTCCTTCAGACTCACTTGACCTCGGGTTTCTCGTTGGACACGCCGTAGCGGTTGAACTCGGTGGAGATGTACTCAGTCTTTCGCATCCATGGCACCACCTTCGCGTGCTGCTGTGACCTGAGCCACAGGTGGGGCACAGGTGTGACACAGGGTTCTTGGATGGATTTGGAGGGGAGATCTATTCCCCCCACCCGTTCCAGGGAGGGCCTGAATACGCCGTTACCTCTTGGAGCTGGTGGGTGCCTGGATCTCCTCCTCCAGCAGCTTCTCATCCGCCGGGTCCAGGAGCACTGCCAAAGAAATCCTCCAGTATCCCCCCCCAGCCTTGGGTCCCCTCCGCCTCCCCCCGAGGGGCAGGGACACCCCTAAGGGCTGAGCTCACCACCGGGGTCGATGCGGTAGGTGTCGGGGTTGATGAGGTCGATGGTGACGCCCAGGTCAGGCTCAGTCAGCAGGTCGTGCTTGTGCTGCTTCTCCAGAGACGTGGCCTTGTACTGCACGAACCTGGAGAGTGTGACGTAGAATCACAGAAACACCAAGGTTGGAGAAGACCGACAAGATCACCCAGTCCAACCGCCCACCCATCACCAGCAGTTCTCACTAAACCACGTCCCTCAACACAAAATCCAAACCTCCCTTGAACACCTCCAGGGTCGGTGGCTCCACCACCTCCCTGTGCAGCCCATTCCAGTGCCTGACCGCTCTTTCAGAAAAGCAGTATTTCCTAACCTCCAGCCTAAATCTCCCCTGGCGCAGTTTGAAGCCATTCCCTCCGGTCCTATCACTGTTACAAGAGAGAGGAGGCTGACCTCCAGCTCACTACAACCTCCCTTCAGGTAGTTATAGAGAGCAATAAGGTCTTCCCTGGGCCTCCTCTTCTCCACACTGAACAACCCCACCTCCTTCAGCCACTCCTCACAATCAACCCAGCAAGACCTAAAAGTGGACACAGCACTCGAGGTGCGGCCTCACCAGAGCTGAGCACAGGGGGACAATTAATTCCCTGTTCCTGCTGGCAGCCCTGTTTCTGATGACGACAGGTCCCAGGACCGCCTCCAGAACCCAAAATTCGCTTCTAAACAACCCGGGACCCCACCGCCTCCATTGCCCCCAGCATACCGGTTCTGGTCGAAGGGGTAGGTGATGAACTTGGGGTCGAAGGGGATGTCGGGGAGGCTGTTGCAGTATTTCACCCGGCACACCACGCCCGACCTGCAGGCAGCGCTGTCAGCGGGGGGGGGGAGGGAAAGGGACCCCCGCTGGACTCCCCTTTAGAGACCGAGCCCCCCCTCACCTCTCGGGCAGCGTTCGGTGGGAGCTGGGCCTATGGGGAGACAGAGAAGGGAGGGGGCGTGAGGGGAGAGCCCCGCAGCCCCCTGACGTCACGCCCCTCGCTCGTGACGTCACGGCCGTGACGTACCGGTGACCCGGCTCCTCCCGCTGCGCCTGCGTCTGGATGGTGGGCGCCATGGCGGAGCCTGGAGGCGGCGGCGGCCCTGAGCAGGCACCGAGCCGGACAGCCGCGGCCGGAAGCGAGAGGAAGACTTCCGGTCGGTGAGAGGGCCCTCGGGTGTGACGTCACTTCCGGACGCGGGCGCGCGCAAGGCCGACTGGGAGCGGAAGTGAAGGCAGTAGCGGGAAAATGGCGGCGCCCTCACAGCCACCGCCGGGACCACCAGCCGCGCCTGCGCCGCCGCAGCTGTCCGCCGCTCCCGGACCTGGACAAGGAGCGGGACCGGGACCGCCGCTTCCGGCGCAGGTGGCGGCCGCGCAGGCGCAGGACTTCGACCCGGTGCAGCGATTCCGGCTGCTCATCCCGCAACTGAAGGAAAGCCTGCAGGTGGGCGGGGCCTGCCGGTGTGGGGCGGGGCCTTCAGCCATCGGGGCGGGCGAGCCGTTCCCGGGGCTGGGGGACGACGGTGTGGGATCCCGCCGTATGTGATCCGCTGTGCTCGCCTCGCAGACGCTGATGAAGGTGGCGGCGCAGAACCTGGTGCAGAACTCCAACATCGACAACGGGCAGTGAGTGAGCCCGGCAGGGTGCTCACCTACGGACCCCAGTCCCATCCCAGCATCCCCCTACCCCCAAGACCCCCACCGGTTTTTCTCGGTTCTATCCAAAATCCCCAGATTCCTCTCCCTGCCCCCAGCAGCCCCTACAAGCCCTTCTCTGCCCCCCGCCCCCCAATCATTCTCTAGGCCCCCTTCCTTGGCCCCCCAGTGTCACCCTGGCAATGTGGTGACAGTGGGGGTGATGGTGGCTGTGTCCCATGGGCAGAAAGAGCGCCGACGGAGCCTTGCAACGCTTTGACAAGAGCCTGGAGGAGTTCTACGCACTGTGCGATCAGCTTGAGCTCTGCCTTGTGAGTGGCTCTCCAAGCGCTGTTTTTTGCGCCCCCCTCCCTCCCATTTTCACTTCCCATTTTCCTTTGGCAATGTCCTTTGCACACTCCTTGTCCTTCCCCCTCCCCCCCCCGGCACACACAGCCCCACGTCCCCTCTGGTGACACCCCCTCCCCAGCGCCTGGCGCACGAGTGCCTCTCACAGAGCTTCGACAGTGCAAAGCACGCACCTGCGTTGGTGCCAGCAGCTCCCAAAGGCGAGGGGGCTGCCGGCGAGAGCCTGCCCTACAACCAGTACCTGCCCCTCATCAAGGCACAGATTGCAGGCGCCAAGGACATCCACAACGCCCTGCTGGAGGGTGCCAACAAGATCACCGGCAAGCTGCCCCCCACGGGGGGTCCCTGATGAGGTCATGGGGGTAGGAAGCGGGCAGCCCCAGTGACAATAAAGGCACCCACGTGCATGGCAGCGTCCCTGAGGATTCCTGGGGGGGTGTTTCTAAGCGGTGTGAGGGTCAGATATATGTAGAGGGTGTCACCCTACGTGTGGGGGGATTGCCTGTGCGTTGAGGTGGATGATGGGGGAGGGATCATCCATATAGAGGCAACGTGATGACACCAAGCTGAGCGGTGCAGTCGATGCATTGGCAGGAAGGGAAGCCATCCAGATGCACCTGGACAGGCTGGAAAAGTGGGCCCATGAAAACCTCATGAGGTTCAATAAGGCCAAGTGCGGGGTGCTGCACTTGGGTCAGGGCAATCCCAGGTGTTTGTGCAAATTGGGGGAAGATCTCCTTGAGGGGGTGTTTGACCACAGAACGGCCGGGGCTGGAAGGGACCTCAAGGGTCACGAAGCTCCAACCCCCTGCCACACGCAGGGCCACCAACCTCCACATTTCACAGCAGCCCAGGCTGCCCAGGGCCCCATCCAACCTGGCCTCCAACACCTCCAGGGATGGACGGGGCATCACAGCCTCTCTGGGCAGCTTTCCAGCTGTTCGCACCCATCGCATCCACATCCCTTCCATTTGGAGAGAAAGACGCGGTGGAGGGGGGGGCAGCGTCAAAAGTTCTTGCTCAAGTCCAGGTGAATGACATCGCTCACCCACGCGCCGATCCTCGGTTCCCGGCACGATGACTCAGCCCAGCCCACCCCGAGCCGCCCCTCCTCGCCCCTTTGCTGACGTCCCCCCCTCCCCCCCCCAACGCGCTGAGCTCATGGCCGCGCCTCGCTCCAACTTCCGGCCACGCCCACTCGCCTTCGTGACGTCACGGGAGCGCCCCACTAGAAAAGCACCGCGGCTCAACGCTGCCCGGCAGTTCCGCTCTTCGTCTTCTATCGCCATGGCTGCTGCTACAGCTGGCCCAGCTCCGGAGCCGCTGCGTCAGGTACGGATCGTCGTCCTGTTCTTCACCCTCCCTCCCCTCGCTTCCCTCGGATCCCGCTCCCGTCTGACACCGACCGTTTCTCCGTTCTAGGGCCCTTTTTGCGGTCAGCCTCCCTCCGAGCCGTCCCCGGAGCCCCCGCTGCCTCCTCGCTCCCCGTGGTGCCCGCCGTCCCCGGAGCTGGGCCGCCTCCTGCGCTCCCTCAGCGCTCCGAGCGGTCGCTCCGTGCCCCCTCCTCCCGGTTTCTCTCCTCGGCTCCGCGGGGCTCCTCCCGGCCTGACCCGCCCGCAGCCCTCCGACACCGCATTGCTGGCTTTGGCGGCGCTGACTTTGGGCACGGATCCGCCCGGGACCGTCCCGGTGCCGTTCCCGTCTCGCAGATCGGCTCAGCTCTCCTCTCTCGGCCTGGCGCTTCTGTCTCCGACGTCGAACGAATCGTCCCAGCTGTCACCGTCGCTTTCACCTCCTCAATCTCCGTTCAGCTTCTCCTTGTCACCGCCCTCCTCGCCGCCGTCCCCGCTCTACAAGACCGAACTGTGCCGCCCTTTTACCGCTACCGGCCGTTGCCGCTATGGTGCCCGCTGTCAGTTTGCCCACGGCCCCGAGGAGCTGCGGGGGCTCCGCCGCCACCCCAAGTACCGCACGCAGCCGTGCAGCACCTTCCAGCGCTGCGGGACGTGCCCGTATGGCTCCCGCTGCCACTTCCTGCATGGCCCCGCACCGGCGGAGGGAAACACGAGCAGCCCGGGCAGCCCCCACCGCCTCCCAGTGTTTGACCGTATCTCAGTGTCGGAATGAGGGGTGTGGTGATGGTCCCTCCCCAGAGGAAGGGAGCCCTCCTTCCTTCCTCCCCCCTCCGCCAGGAACTTTGGGCTGAAGGAGGCGGAGTTGTCAGATGTAGCATCCCTGGGGCGGGGGGGGGGACACGCTGTGCTCGGTCCCAGTGGTAATAAGTGGGAAGTGGGGGGGAGGAGGAGGAGGAGAGGGAGACGAGGCTGGCAGGTCCTGTCGTCTCCCTCCCCGCCCTGATTCTGCCTTTATTTATTACTCACTCAGTGCCTTAGGGGCGTTTCTGTCCCTGTGTATGGCTTTTTTTTTTTTTTTTTTTTCCCGGTGGCCAGAGGTTTTATATCGTATTTATGTGTTTTATAATTGGGGGGGGGTGGGGAGAGGGGTGAAGGGAAAATGCTGATTTTTTTTTTTTTTCTTTTTTCTCCTGTTTGTTTGTTTTAAATAAATCGACGAACTCTTTCTCTGGTGTTGGTTGCTCTGTTGTACGGGGAGGGGCGAGGAGGAGCAGAGCGGAGCTGTGACGTCAAACCCCACCCCGTGACAGCTCCCCGCAACGCGATTTCCTCCACCGCGCCCCTTTTTGTCCCTTCCGGGCCACCACCGCCTCCGTCTAATCACGTGACCAAGTATGTTCCGCTCTACCTACCGCCTACGCACACGTGACGGAGGCTAAGCTCGCGAGAAATGCTGGCTGACCGGAACCGGATGGAGGGAGGCGGAAGTGCTGTCCTCCTGGCGGCGGGGCCTGCTGGGGGCGGGCCGGTGCTGCTCTCCGTTTCTCCTTTTGCTACCAGGCCCCCCCTTTAAGCCCTGGGATCTCCCCTCCGTGCCCTCAACGCCTTCTCGCGTCCGCTTCCCGCTCCCTTAGCGCATCTCTGGGCTCCTCCCCACCCCCCTCCCCATCATGTCGGACAGCGACGACAGCAACTTCTCAGAGGAGGAGAGCGAACGCAGCAGCGAGGCGGAGGAGGCTGAAGAAGCTGAGGTGAGGTTGAACGTGTGGGGCGTGCGCCGTGCCCCGCCTTCCCTCGCCCTCAGCATCCCCCCCTTCACCGCTGTGCAGGCCGAGGAGGAGCGCGCCAGTGCAGCGGGCAGCGAGAAGGAAGAGGTGGAGGAGGAAGAGGAGGAGGAATACGATGAGGAGGAGGAGGAGGAAGATGACGACCGGCCTGCTAAGAAGCCACGGCATGGCGGCTTTATCTTAGATGAAGCCGGTGAGCTGGGGGTGGAGCAGGGATGGTGGGGGGGCCTCGGCTGCCTCCGGATTTTGCTCTCACCGCTGTGGTGATCCCCCCCCAGATGTGGACGATGAATATGAGGATGAAGATCAGTGGGAAGATGGAGCTGAGGACATCCTGGAGAAAGGTGAGGAGGTTGCTTTGGGGGCTCCCCAGCTTTGAGGATGCTCCCTGGGGCTTCGAGATTCGCCTTGGGCTTTGGTCCCTGCTCTCTGGCCTTAAGGCCAGAAGAGGATGGAAGCAGAGCTCTGTGGTGGTACGGCTCCTCTGGCAGAGGTGCGCCATTCTGGGTTGCAGTGCTGTGCTGCTGGATCGGTTTTGGTGCAGCTCTTCTGGGTTAAAACACTGGGTTGGCTGCTGTTGCTCTTTCCCCACCTCTGAGCGTGTTTTTCTCCCCAAGCCCCACACTCAGGGGTGGGAATGGGACTGTGTAGCCCCTGACCCCTCACCTCCCTCATCCCAACTGTCTGTCTTTCTGTCCACCCTTTGTCTGTCTGCTTAGCGCATTTCATTCACACCTGCCTGGTTTTATTTTTTACTCTTTTTTTTTTTTTTTTTTAATTTAAACGTTTCTTGTGTTTTCCTTTCCCCTCCTGTGCTGCCGTCTTAATTTTGTTCCTTCCCCTTTGTTCCCCCTCACCCATGGGTGGTTTTGCCGCTATTATTTGCTCCATACTGTCTGCCCTCCACCGCCACCTCCTTGTTCCCGAGCAGAAGAGATTGAAGGTAAGCTTGAGTCAGTCTGAGCCCCCCTGGGGGGGCCAACCGCTGCCACCCCCTGGGGCCAGCTAAGCCCAGCCACGTCCCTGTGCTGCTGTGAGCCGCATTCGACCCTCCTCTTCCTTGCAGCTTCCAACATTGACAACGTGGTGTTGGATGAGGACCGCTCTGGTGCTCGGCGGCTGCAGAATCTCTGGAGGTGATGCCAGCTCTGTCTGTGCGCCGCTCCTTTGCCCCTTGAGAGGCTGTGGGAGTTGTGCTGATGCCCGGTTCCACCTTCTCCACCTACAGGGACCAACGTGAAGAAGAGCTGGGCGAGTACTATATGAAGAAATACGCCAAGTCCTCAGTGGGAGAGACGTGAGTTGGGAGACGTGGCCCTGCCACCCTGTCTTACCGCCTGCCAAGGATTGTACTGTTTCATTTTATTGTCCAATTTTATTTTACCAGTGTTTATGGCGGCTCTGATGAGCTCTCAGATGACATCACACAGCAGCAGCTGCTGCCCGGAGTCAAGTGAGTGTCTTGGGGTAGAAAACACATGGATTTTTTGGGGAAAAAATGAGATATTCAGGTCTGTGTTATGCTGAGCTGCCCAGCCAGGTGGGCTCTGGCAGGTTTAGCCAGCTCAGGCCACCCTGTAAATGCTTTTCTCTGGTCCTGTGCAGGGATCCCAATCTCTGGACGGTGAAATGCAAGGTAAGCACTAGGGATCTTTGGAGTCGGAATCGGCGTTTGAGAGGCATCTTCTCAACCCTAAAGCAACCTGTTTCCACCACAGATTGGAGAGGAGCGTGCTACAGCCATCGCTCTGATGAGGAAGTTCATTGCATACCAATTCACTGACACGGTGAGGCCGCGGGGAGCCACGTGGTGGCTGGGGGGGCTGCACCACCTGCTGCTGCACCACCTGCACCCCTCCGGCCCTCATGCGCCCCGTGGTTCCTCCAGCCCTTGCAGATCAAGTCGGTGGTGGCCCCCGAGCACGTCAAAGGATACATCTACGTGGAGGCCTACAAGCAGACGCACGTGAAGCAGGCGATTGAGGGGGTAGGGAATCTGCGGATGGGTTACTGGAACCAGCAGATGGTGCCCATCAAGGAGATGACGGACGTGCTGAAAGTGGTGAAGGAGGTAACCAATCTGAAGCCGAAGTCCTGGGTGCGTCTGAAGAGGGGAATCTACAAGGACGACATCGCCCAGGTGAGGCAGGAAGGCACAGGAGCCCCACAGTGGGGAGCTGAGGACAGCCGGCTCACTGCCACCCTGTCCCTGTGGGCAGGTGGATTACGTGGAGCCCAGCCAGAACCAGATTTCCTTAAAGATGATCCCCCGAATTGACTTCGACCGTATCAAAGCCCGAATGAGTCTGGTAAGTGCGGCGCTCTTGCGTGGTGCTGCTGTGCTGGGGCTCGTTTGCTTATCGTGTTGCCTCCCAATCTGCAGAAGGACTGGTTTGCCAAGAGGAAAAAGTTCAAGCGACCCCCTCAGAGGCTTTTTGATGCCGAGAAGATCAGGTAGGTGGTGGCATCAGAGAACATCAGACTGAAAGAAAACCAACACAACAACCATGCGTGGAAAAAAAACGCCCCCTGGTGAGCTGTCCTCCACGAGGGGGTGATTTGGTTTTGCCTCTGTCTTGGTTCAGGTCTCTGGGAGGCGACGTGGCTTCTGATGGAGACTTTCTCATCTTTGAAGGCAACCGTTACAGCCGCAAGGGCTTCCTCTTCAAGAGCTTCGCCATGTCAGCAGTGGTGAGCGTGGGACTCTGTTCAGATCCAACCTAAGCCCGTCTCCTTTCCCCCCAAAACTGCTTTCCTTCTCATGTCAAGACCCGAACGCTGAGTTACTGGTGGGAAGGAGGGTGGTGGGAGGCCAGAAACTCCCTGTTCTCTGGTAGCGATGGCCGCAGCCGTGGTGCACGGTCCGTTTGGCATTGGCACAGCTTAGGGAAGTAGGTGAGTTCTGGAGAGGAGTGGGATGTTGTGGCCACCACCAGCTCTGTTCCTGACAGATAACAGAGGGTGTGAAGCCCACCTTGTCAGAGCTGGAGAAGTTTGAAGACCAGCCTGAAGGCATTGACCTGGAGGTGGTGACAGAGAGCACGGGTATGCGGGTGCCTCTTCACGCACGCTGCTGTTTCCCGTGCGTTGTTTTCCCCTGACTCTCTCTGTTGTCACCCCTAGGGAAGGAGCGTGAGCATAATTTCCAGCCCGGTGACAACGTGGAGGTGTGTGAGGGTGAACTGATCAACCTGCAGGGCAAGATCCTCAGCGTCGATGGCAACAAGATCACTATCATGCCCAAACACGAGGACTTGAAGGTAGCAGAGCACCCAGGGAGCAGCTTCATGTGGCTGCTGCAGCCTCACCAGGACGCTGCGTGCCTCTTCCCCAGCGCCTGCGGAGTTCTGCTTTTCTTTTAGGACATGCTGGAATTCCCAGCTCAGGAGCTGCGGAAATATTTCAAGATGGGTGACCACGTGAAGGTGATCGCAGGGCGCTTTGAGGGTGACACGGGCCTCATTGTTAGGGTGGAGGAGAACTTCGTCATCCTCTTCTCAGACCTCACCATGCACGAGGTGAGCGGAGGGGTGGAAGGCCACAGTTTGGCTCAGCGTGATGCCAGTGGGAAGGGGAGAAATCGGCTGTGGCAGCTGGGTTTCATTCATTCTTCCTACCCCACCACCAGCTCAAGGTTCTGCCACGGGACCTGCAGCTCTGCTCGGAGACGGCATCGGGTGTGGATGTGGGGGGACAGCATGAGTGGGGTGAACTGGTGCAGCTGGACCCCCAGACAGTGGGTGTTATTGTACGACTGGAGCGTGAGACCTTCCAGGTGAGCTCCAGTTGCCCGTGATGCTGGAAGGAGCTTTGCTGTTTTTTCCTGTGTGTGTTTTCGGGTGTCTTGAAGACTAGAGAGCAGTTTTCATGTGCAGCCCTGTGCCAGAAACGCCTCCCCACCTTCTGTTTTGCATCTATGCAGTCCGTGCTGCCTTGGAGGGCTGTTTTGGGCAGCACCTCTCCAGCTTTTGCCATTCCTGTTTGTGTTTCAGGTGTTGAACATGTATGGAAAGGTGGTGACGGTGCGGCACCAGGCTGTCACCAGGAAGAAGGACAACCGCTTCGCTGTCGCCCTCGACTCAGAACAGAACAACATCCACGTCAAGGACATCGTCAAAGTCATAGATGGGCCCCACTCGGTAGGAACCATGGGGTTGGGGGTGACTGGGGTGAGACTTTTTGGTCACCTTGGCCTTGTCCTGGTCTGCCATAGATGCTCTGGATTTGTTGGTGCTTTTCGGGGTTGGTTTTTTTTGGCACGTAGGGAACACTGGGTTTTTTCTGACAGCCTTCTGAGTCCTGTTGCTGGGGGAGGTCCTGCCACCCCCCTGAGGCTCACCCCTGCCACTGTCACAGGGTCGTGAGGGAGAGATCAGGCACCTCTTCCGGGGCTTCGCCTTCCTGCACTGCAAGAAGCTGGTGGAGAATGGTGGCATGTTTGTCTGCAAGACCCGACACCTTGTCCTGGCTGGTGGTTCCAAGGTGGGGGCGCGCTGGGCGTCAGTGATGGCTGCTGGAGGGGGCCATGACCCTGTGCCTTTGTTGCTGCTGCTCTCCAGCACCGTTTTCTTTCCCTTCTGCAGCCACGGGACGTCACCAATTTCACTGTAGGCAGCTTTGCTCCCATGAGCCCTCGTATCAGCAGCCCGATGCATCCCAGTGGGGCCGGTATGTGTTGCAGGGGTGCCCCCAGGGCCAAGAGAGCGTCCCCAAGGACTTCCTGCTCAGCCTGAGCCCTCGCTTCCTTGTCCTTCAGGCCAGCGTGGTGGCTTCGGTGGAGGTGGCATGAGCCGTGGGCGCGGGCGGCGGGACAACGACCTGATTGGGCAGACGGTGCGCATCTCCCAGGGACCTTACAAAGGTGAGTGGTTTTTGGATGGCAAGAAGCTGTGGGTTGCCCTGGTTCCCTCGTCAAATTACCGTTGGGACTCAGGCTACATCGGGGTGGTGAAGGATGCAACGGAGTCAACGGCCCGGGTGGAGCTGCATTCTACCTGCCAGACCATCTCGGTGGACCGCCAGCGCCTGACCACCGTGTGAGTACAAGGACAGGGAGCTGTGCTGCTCCCTCTGCAGGACGGCCTCTTAGGGGCTTCTTCACATCCTCGATGCTGCAGGGGTTCAAGACGCCCGGGTGGAATGACTTCAACCTACGGACGGACCCCCATGTATGGGTCCCAGACCCCCATGTATGGCTCTGGCTCCCGCACTCCCATGTATGGCTCCCAGACGCCTCTCCATGATGGTGAGTGGTGCTGGGGGTCGATGGCACTGATGGGGACGCAGATGGGACGGAGGTGAAGTGGGTTCTGGGGTGATCTTTTGGTTGGAAAGGGGTGTGTGAAGGAGGCTTTGAGGATGAGGAGGGGACGGGGCTGAGGTGGAGGGGACAGGACTCGGTGGGGACGCAGAGGGGTCTGACGCAGCCATTGTGGGGCTGTTGCAGGCAGCCGCACGCCACATTATGGCTCACAGACTCCGCTTCACGATGGCAGCCGCACGCCTGCTCAGAGCGGCGCCTGGGACCCCAACAACCCCAACACTCCTTCCAGGTGAGTGTGGGGAGCGGGGGGCTGCTGACCAGGACAGACCCACCGCAGAGCCTGCGGTTACTGTGATGTCCCCAACAACATCACAACAGTCACGTTTGGGATCTCTGATCGCTGCCATGGCTCCAGCGATTCTGGATTGTCCTCACTGCAGGGGCCCAGTCACTGAACTGAGCTGGCTGTGGTGATGAGGTTTGTCTTCCTTCCACAGAGCCGATGAGGACTTTGAATATGGCTTTGATGACGAGCCCACGCCCTCACCACAAGGCTACGGTGGCACCCCCAACCCACAGACCCCTGGTTATCCTGACCCTTCATCACCGCAGGTCACCCAGCCGTACAACCCCCAGACCCCCGGCACGCCAGCCATGTGAGCATTCCTTCCACTCTGCACTGGCCCTGGAACTCTGGGAGGGGAACCACAGCTCTGTGGAACCACAGTTGGGATCCTGAGGGGAGACTGCAGCCCCAGAGGATCCCAAACTGTGGCTCTGGGTTGACATAATGTTCCCTGAGGTCTCCTACATGCAACACAGCATCCCCATGACTCCCTCTCACCCTGGCAGGTACAACACTGACCAGTTCTCACCCTATGCTGTGCCATCGCCACAAGGCTCCTACCAGCCCAGCCCCAGCCCCCAGAGCTACCACCAAGTGGCCCCCAGCCCTGTGGGCTATCAGAACACCCATTCACCAGCCAGCTACCACCCAACGCCATCACCGATGGCCTACCAGGTACCTCCAGTTCCACTCCCTTGCCTCCCATAGCCTCCCACTGCTGCTTATGCTGCCTTCTCTCTCCCTCAGGCAAGCCCTAGCCCCAGTCCAGTGGGCTACAGCCCCATGACACCTGGGGCACCATCTCCGGGGGGCTACAACCCCCATACCCCTGGTTCAGGCATCGAGCAGAGCTCCAGCGACTGGGTGACCACTGACATCCAAGTGAAGGTCCGGGACACCTATCTGGACAGCCAGGCAGTGGGACAGACCGGGGTGATCCGCAGCGTCACGGTGAGCCCACGGTGGTACCACGTGTGGGGCGGTGACAGGACTGTAACAAACCTTAACACCCATTCTCTGTTCTCCCCGCCCCCCCTGCAGGGTGGAATGTGCTCTGTGTACCTGAAGGACAGCGAGAAAGTGGTGAGCATCTCCAGTGAGCACCTGGAGCCCGTCACCCCCACCAAGAGCAACAAGGTACGCTCATCACCGCTGCCCATGCCGCCCCTGCCCCTCTTGGGCTCCGCCTCCCCCTCCTGCCTTGCCCGGGGACCCCCTTGGCTCTCCCACCCCTTTCCGTCCTCTTCACTCTCCCTGGATCCCGCTGCACAGCGTAGGGGAGGGCTCGCGGATCCCCGTGGCCCTTCCTGGGCTACCTACCAGATACCCCTCAGCCCCATTGGGCTCCTGCTGTCCCCACAGGTGAAGGTGATCCTGGGCGAGGACCGCGAGGCTACCGGCATCCTGCTCAGCATCGACGGTGAGGACGGGATTGTGCGCATGGACCTGGACGAGCAGCTCAAGATCCTCAACCTGCGCTTCCTGGGCAAGCTGCTGGAGGCCTGAGCGCTGCCTTCGTTTTTCACCCCGGCCTCCCGTTTAAAGCGAGATGGCCGTATCCAATAAACGCTTATGACCCCTCGACTCGCATTCCCTTGAACGCGGCGCTCCGAGGCGAGACTCTCCTGTCCGGACCTCCACCCTTCCATCGGCTCTTCCTCCGCCGCTGCTTTGCGGTCTCACGGCCGCGGCGCGACTTACACGGCGTGCTTCCGGGAGGGCGCGGGGGGCGATGGGCATTGTAGGCACTGCCAGCCAGTCATCGCCGAGCGCGCGGCATGCCGGGAAGCGTGGCGACGGGAGACGGCGCGGCGCTTTCAGCCAATCACACCCGCCCGCGGGGCTTGTCGGGAAGCGTGGCGACAGGCGATGGTAGCGCGGCGCGCAGCTCGCCGGGAAACACGGGGCTTCCAGCCAATCAGCGCCGTCCGCTGGGCATGCCGGGAAGCGTGGCTATTGGAGACGGCGCGGCGCTGCAGCCAATCAACGGTCCTCGCGCTGCACGCCGGGAAGCGCGGCGCTTTCAGCCAGTCATCAGCGCCGACCGCTGGGCACGCCGGGAAGCGTGGCTTTCCCAGCCTTAGAGACGAGCGCTGCGGGAAAATGGCGGCGACGGCGGCGGCGCGTGGGGCCCGCATCGCCCTCGCGGCCCACCGGGCCCTCGCCGCGCTGAGTCGCGCCGTGAGCAGCAGCGGTGCGGGCACTTCCGGTACGGAAGCGGTGCTGCAGGAGAGGCTACGGCAGCAGCAGGCGGTAGGAGGCGTGGGAAGGGCCGGTCCTGAGGGTTCGGTGCTCTCAGCGGAGCCTCCGGGCCTCACCGTCAGCCTCACGCAGGGCCTGGAGGGACCCCAGGGGCGGCCGAACCCCGGTAATGAGGAGGAGGAGCGGAGGAAGCAGCGCCTGGCTGCCGTTCGGCGGCTGGCCCTGCGGCTGGCGGGGCTGCTGGGTGCCGGTACCGGCATCACCATCATCTACATCTTCGGTAAGGACCCCCGCGGTGCTGCAGTCCGATCCCCGCCCCCCACCCAACCCCAAACCCCGCCTCACGTTCTCCCGTCTCCCCAGGCAGCAACGCGGTGGATGAACACGGAGCCAAGGTGAGCTGCGTGTCCCCACGCTGGTGATCCGTGTTGGGAATGGCCAAATAATTGTTGTCAGGACGGTATTTCTGATAAAAAGCGGATTTTATTCGCGATTGCAATGGCAGGAGCAGCGCTAAGGCACAATGACAGCTTTTCCCCTATGAAGACAGGCTGAGGGAGCTGGGCTCGTTCAGCATGGAGAAAAGAAGGCTGCGGGGTTCATTGCAGCCTGCAGTACCCAAAGACAGCCTGCAAACAGGAGGGGAGTCAGCTCTTGGAAAGGGTTGGTAGCAGCAGAACGAGGGGAAATGGTTTGGAGTAGAGGGAGGGCAGATGGAGGTTGGATGTCAGGGGAAGTTCTGTGCTGTGAGAGCGGTGAGGGGCTGAACAGCTGCCCAGAGAGGCTGTGATGCCCCGTCCATCCCTGGAGGTGTTGGAGGCCAGGTTGGATGGGGCCCTGGGCAGCCTGGGCTGCTGTGAAATGTGGAGGTTGGTGGCCCTAAGTATGGCGGGGGGTTGGAGCTTCGTGACCCTTGAGGTCCCTTCCAGCCCTGGCCGTTCTGTGATTCTTTGTACCCTTTTTGCTTGCCCCCCCCCCGTTTCCCCATTGGCTGGGTGCTCCAGGTTCACAATCTTCTCCAAGGTTTCCATCTGTTCATTGCTGTCTTGCATTCAGCTGCCACCCCCTTGTTTCCGAGATGTCTCAGTGCTCTCCTTGTATTCATATGGTGATTTTCTTCAAACCCTTCGTTAAACAAAGAACACCGGGGGGTGGAGGGGGGATGCCAGGCCTTCCCGATGGCTCTTCAGGCTCTTCCACGGGCATGTCACGATTTGCTCTCTGGTGCATATTGTGCAGGATATTCCTGCAATATGCACGGCAAAATATGCCTGTATACGCCTGCATGCTGAGCACACATTCCCGAGGAAGGTTCTGTAGAAGATAAGCGATGCAAACTATCAGAACCTCTCCCAAGTAAAGTAAAAAAGACTCCTGACAAGAACTGTGCCAGCGGAGACCATGAAATAAAAAATAAAGTAGGATTTAGTTCTAATGCAGAAACATTTGACTCCTAAATCCATCACGGCTCTGCACTGCCCTCAGAACCAACCGGGGGAGGCTTCCCATTTCGTGGTGGTTTTTATTTCCCCTCCCCCACGCAAAGCCCCTTTATGGGGCCGTCTGAGCCGTCAGGGTTTGATGTGCGGCCTGGGGGGGAGCTGTGAATTGTTCCCCTTCATCCGGGGCTGTTGGGACATCAAAAGGGCAGGGGGAAAATAGCCAGGGGGTGACAAAGCAATCGGCAGGATGGTGAGAAAATCAACGAGGGGCATCCAGGGGCGGAAGGAAGCACTGCTAGCACAGGAAAACCACCTCACCTAGCTGTAAATCACCCTGCCTGGGGTTCCCTCTTCCCACCCTTTTGGTCGTGGTTTTTCTTGCATTTGTTTTTCTTTCCCTGCAGGTCCCCGATGAGTTTGATGGTGGTGAGTAACAAACGGAGCCGGGGGGGGAGGCGGCGGCCCTTGCAGGGGATGGGGGACAGGTTGTGTCCCCTGGGCTGCTTTGACACATGGCAGCGGCCTTTTGTGATGTTTTTAGCACCAGCTGGTTGCCCCAGCGGGGCTTTTTCTCCTACGTGTTGTTTCTTTTTATTTCTATGGGGATGGTAGGAAGAAAGAGATTGGGATTTTCACCCTCCTTGAGACCCCATGCATTCACCCATGCTTGGTTCCACAGACCCTGTGGGCATCCAGCAGCTCCGCAGGACATATAAGTACTTCAAGGACTACAGGCAGGTGCGTGGGGCTTTCCCCATTTGGGTTTTTATCTCCTTTTGGGGCTGTTCTTGTTGGAAGCCTTGGTGATGTCAGCAGCAGCAGCACTTTAAGACCCCCGTGCTCTTCGGGGGGATCTTTGCCCTCATCCTGGCGACGTCGTGGCCTGGTTTTGGGGTTTTATTGTGGATCTTATGGGGGGGGGGGAGGATTCTCATCCCTTTTTGAAGGGCCTTTGTCCCAGCGTCGGTGGCCTGTCTCTTGCTCTTTCTCAATCAGATGATCATCGAGCCCACCAGTGCCAAGCTGCTGCCAGACCCTCTGCGTGAGCCCTACTACCAGCCGCCCTACACTCTGGTCATTGAGCTCACCGACGTCTTGCTGCACCCCGAATGGTCGGTGAGTGGCAGCCCGTTGTTCCTGCCTCCCTTCCTCTGCTGACGGCCTCATCTCTTGCCCCCTTCTGCCTCCTTTCTCTGCTCCAGCTCATCACCGGCTGGCGTTTCAAGAAGCGTCCGGGCATCGACAGCCTCCTGCAGCAGCTCGCGCCGCTCTACGAGATCGTCATCTTCACCTCCGAAACGGGCATGGTGTGTGCAGCCATGGGGAAGGGGCTGCGGCCCAAAGGTGGGCTCGACTCAACCCCCCCCCTACTCGTCTTTCTATCCCCAGACTGCCTTCCCCCTCATCGACAGCATCGACCCGCACGGCTTCATCTCCTACCGCCTCTTCCGCGACGCCACCCGTTACATGGATGGGCACCACGTCAAGGTGGGGACGGGGAGAGGAATGAGGGACACGTCGGTGCCCCCCCCCCCCCCCCGGCCCTATGGCAGCCCTTCTCTGTCCCCTATCCACCCCCAGGACATCTCCTGCCTCAACAGAGATCCTGCCAAGGTGGTGGTGGTGGACTGCCGCAAGGAAGCCTTCTGCCTGCAGCCCTACAACGGCCTGGCGCTGCGCCGCTGGGACGGCAGCTCCGATGATCGCGCCCTCTACGACCTCACTGCTTTCCTTAAAAGTGAGAAAACAAAAAACCTCCACATCCTTGCGCCCGCCACCTCTCCCTGCCCAACCCTGACGTGTTCCCACCCCGCTTCCCTCAGCCATTGCCCTCAGTGGTGTTGAAGACGTGAGGAGCGTGCTGGAGAACTACGCGCTGGAGGACGATCCGCTGGCGGCTTTCAAACGCCGCCGGTCGCAGCTGGAGGAGGTGAGGAGGCTGGGAGAAGACGTGGGAGAGTGAGGAAGGCGCCGAGGTGCAGCGACGGCTGAAGGGCGACGGGTGTTTTGTGCTCTGGGATGCAGGAGGAGCAGCAGCGTTTGGCTGAGATGGCGCAGGGCAAGAAGCCGACGGGGCTCTTCCTGGGCGCCCTGGCTGGCCGTCTCTGGGCGCGTTCCAAGCAGCAGTGATGGCCCAAGATGTTGTCATCGTGTCACCAGGACGTTGTCATCGCGTTTACTGCATGCTTGGACTTGACTGGCGGTCCTGGCGCTGTGTCTGAGCTACATTTCTTTATTTTTGTTTTGTTTTGTTATTTTGGGAGGTTTGGCTCCGCGAGGGTGAATAAAGGGTTACGTGGAGCCGTGGGGATTCTACTGCTGCTTTTGTGATGGGGGGCAGGGAGTTTTGTCACCTCCCTGCTGTCCTGGGGCCTGTGGGAAGATGGAAGAAGCACGGGGGGGGGGGGGGGGCTGCCTCCCCCCTTTTCCCCCCTATGGGGGTGTGCTGTAGGTGGGGTTGGAGGTGTGGTTTATAACAGGATGGGGCCTGGTCCTTATCAGGGGGTTCCAGGGGTGGCAGCGGGTTCAGACCCTGCTGAGCTCTGGGACCACG